GCTTATACTTGAGACTTTATGCCTATGTACCAATTCAGTCAGTTGTCTGCTTAGTCAACAGCATACATATTAACTTTTCAAACTCTTGGTCTAGCTGGGTTTTTGGCCCATGATACTTCTCTAGTGAACTTGATATGGAGCACGTTGTGCCCACTTTTTCGCAAGGGAGAACGATGTTGTATGAGGTCTACATCCTTACCGCGGGAGAACACCAGGCCCAGGGTTGAGGAGGGGCGCTCTGAGTCATTGCAAGTGGGTCTGCGACATTTTGGACTAGGACTGGTATATCACTAGTTTCCAACAGTTTTTAGTCAATGGAGTTGTCGGAAGATGGGGTTACAAGGCCAGCCCAGTCAACTGTCAAAGCATCGAAGTCACTGACTACAAGAATTTGACATTTTGGTATCCGGGAGCCTAGCTTCTCCACCAGGAAGTTATCTGCATTCAGTCAGGACTGTAGCATTCGGCAGTGGGATCAATATCTTCGCCTATGCATTTACATCCGCAGCACAGAAGTTTGCATATTCCAGTTTCGTCTGCGAGAAATTCAATGCTACGCATGGTTAGGTATTGATTGAAGTAAATGACTACGCTACCCGTTTTACAGTCTAGCTAGTCCTTCCTATGCACTGTGAAGTTTGATAGGTTAACTTCGTTAACAGTGCTATCGGATGTGAGCCATGTCTCTGTGTTGATAATTGTATCAGGGTTTTTGAACTCTGCTGTATCTTTCAGCTCAGTCTCATTGTTCAAAAGGCCACGAGCATGTTCACGGCAAACTTTTAACTCAGTTTTATGCTTCCGCGCTCCATCCAAAGAGGTTTCTGAATATCTAGGCGTCGAACTTAGTGACTAGATGACCCCTAATCATAAGGCTTTTCTCGTCGTTTCGGAGCCCTTTGTCTGATTATAGAGCCATATACTGTCTCTTGACGTCGTCTGATAGGTAGAAATCAGCACGGATGTATATGCCTGATCTTTCAAGAATTTGGAATTTGCTTAGTATATCATCCCTCTGTTTTTGAGTTTATTACGACTTCAAGGTGTACCGGCTGATTTACTGCAGAGTCGGCATTTTGGCCAATTCTGTACAAGCTTTGTATATTTAATCTGATACTGCTGATAGCCGTAACATATCTAGGAGAGGCCTCACTAGGTTAAGATAATGTTTAAGCCAGGCCTTGGGATCCGAAGCCAGTAATCTATCAGTCCTCACTTGTTTTCCTAGAGCTAAGGCAGAGGTGATTGGTGCATCGCAACACCAAAAAAGCATCAAAGCTCAGGAATACTTGCGACCAAGTTTGAAAATAGCGATTCAGGAGTGCGGACACACGATGACATTGAATACATTGATACACTGTCTCTCGGACCATGAGACCTACCATTTCAGCACCACTACGAATATTGTGAACTGGTTAAAAAGCGAATTTCCTCTTGATCCAGATTTTAAATATTAACTAGGTAATGGCTTGATGAGTCGTATTCACAGATATCACTTCAAGAAAACAAACCATAAGAATATTATGTAGGTCAAATGAAGCGCATCATTTTAAGACTTGCGTTACAATCATAAGTCAGGTGGTGCCCGTATTGTCCAGTAAGAGTGGCTACTTTTTCCCCAATACATCATGTATCTATTACTCGGAAGTCTGTGACGTTAAGTAATGTTATGTTATAACACAATATCTAGGCCTAAATAAGTCAACCTTTATCCGTTTGGAAACAAGATCGACCTGAACTGTTCTGTTGTGCCAGAATTTTCAAAACTAGGGGGAGCATTGGGTGAAGTGACAGGTCGTCTGGGCATAGTCGTGATTATAATCAAAGTGTAATACAACAGGCCTAGGTTACAGTAATTCTAAACTAATTCTCAACTATGCGATCGCTACGCGATAATCCGGGTCGACCCGGATCAATGCTAAATGAATAATTCGTGTGCTCGTATGTACTGAAGTAATGCGCGTAATGCTTAAAATGTGAACTAGACGCATAGCTAATCTAGTAGGTGCTGAGATCATGCCGATCAGTGCTGATTCGAGGCCGAGAGCGCTTTAATGATGTTGAAAATAATATCACCAGGCTCCGGAATGCTGTCGGTAATGTTGAGAAAAGGTGAAGAGTGCCGAATCAGTGCAAATGACGTGGAAAAACAGCACAGGAGCCCATTTTGTCCGTAATTCCAAGTCACTTAGGAATTTACTCATCATAGGAAAGAAGCTTTAATTCAGAATTTGCGAGTATAATTTCAGCGTTATTGTAAGCTTGCAATAGGCCCAAATAATCAGGTTCTTGGTTTGTTAGCTACTACAATGAGGAAAGATTTTCTGCAGAAGATATCTGGTTAAAGCACTGCGAAGCTTTTTCCAGTTGCTTGAAGCCTGGTATCTCCTGGAGTGAGGATTCACAGGGGGTGACTAAGCGAAACAACATTATCGCGTCAAATTGTGGGAATGCTGAAAGTCATAAAACTGCTGGTTGAAATTCTTATTACCGGACAAGAAAATAATATGTGTTCACAAGGTAGCTATATCTTGGTTGTTTTTGAAAACTTCTTTATTCCTCTTCAGTGCATTCACATTCAGCCCCGTAATATGTACCTATGAAGGTGACTACATTTCATTCTACTTTGTAGAGCGCTCTTTGGGTAACCTTCAGAACCAACTGAAATCTTAAGTCAACCTAGTAAATGTAATAATTAGTTACTGTTTATCTACCCGTATTATAGTTATTTGGTACAAACCACCTACTGGCCTGTATGCTTGTACAATAAGAACTCTTGGCATAATTTTACTTGGTATTCTTTATAGAAAGCCATTTCTAATGGTAGTATTGTGCAGCCTGGCAACCCACATTTCGTTTAGTCCCTGTTGTCATCTGTTGTATTTCCTCTTGGATATATCGACAGAATAATTGAGTACGTGAAACGCTTTGTCGAATAACCGATACTGGTAGCTGACAGTACGTACACCACATACAGGTGCCTCTTTCCTTCAGCATCGTCGTGAATGGTTACTTTTCCATCGAGCGTGATTTAATCCTCCTATATAATTCTTTGTCATCTGAAGACTGGAAAGGATGCGAATGAAATTGTGAAGGCAGTTATTGGACAGCGTTTATGGTTAACAACATAAATTGACACTATTCAAGGTGTCATGTTAGTCATTGTTGGTTTTTACGTATGACTGCCATTGATCTTCATCGAATAAGCTTTTTACTAGTTTTAGTATTTCGTGTAAGCTGTAGTTTTCTTCGTGTTCATTGCTTTTGCATTTGTCTCGCTAGTTGATTAAACTTCACTCTAGTTTGTCCACGTGCTCGTCCCATTTGTCTGAATTCAGATTACGGTTAACATCAACGATTTATAGGGATAACGGAATGACACTGCAGTCTTACTCCATCTGCACTAGCTCACAGCATTACCATTCTGTCTCTGTGGCGTTTAAAGAAGATTCACGAAATTGACTTGTCACTTAGATACTAGTCTTCTGGATGTCTAGCTTATACCATGGAAGATGTATATTAGGATATGTCAGTTTGCGATTTCCGATGAATGCATTTTTGTATCTTTTGGTGAAGTATCAATGAAATAGAATGGATCCGTCTTATCCTATTCCAATGTTTTGTTCATATAGCTTTGTCTGAACTCAATTGTTATGTCACTCTACTTTGCGAACGTTGTTGCTTTAAGTATAGGGGTATATGGTGAAGATAATATGACGGGAAGATAAACAGTTCCCAGTCCACGTACATATCATACAATCGCATTCCTTATTGGATAAATGGATTAAGGAAGTGGTTAGGTTATCATATTTAGTTTCGCTTATGATTCACCTACTCTCTTCAAAGCACTAGACAACTTCAGTCTAAAATTTGATTGCAAAGTAAAACACAAAGTGAATCACACAAAGATTCGTGCTGCTTCTCCTGGCAATTTTCCAAGTTTCTTACTGAAAAAGCAAGGAGAACTCCCCGACGGGTTGATCTCTGACGAAATCTCAGCACGGATACAGAGGGCTAGTTTCGCATATGCCAGTTTAAGCCGTATTTAGCGTGGACGCGATATCCGACTATCGACCAAAGGGCGGGTGTTCTGCTCATCAGTCCGCTCCGTCCTCCTTTATGTCTGTGAGACGTGGCCATTGAGAGTGGAAGACATGGAAAGATTAGCTGTCTTTGATCATAGGTGCCTGCGTTCTATCTCCCGTGTGAAGTGGTATTATAATAAGGTGAGCAATATTGAGGTTAGGCGTCGAGTTCTAGGTTAGCAGGGGAAATCAGCCGACGAGGTTGTGAAGTTACATCGACTGAGATGGTTAAGACATGTGTTACGTATGCCTAGTCATGGCCTTCCTCGACAACAGGAAATGTTAGCGGACAAAGGGTCAAGTTGGAAAAGAGCCAGTGGTAGGCAAACCAAAACACAGCATCAGTCAATGAAATCTACAACAGTTAGCTTAAGCCAGCCACGTAAGAAGGTGTAGACTTCCTGACTGACTGGTTGGGGTCCTCGGGACGGTAAAAACCAATGGTTGGAAACAATTGGTGACATGGTTCAAAATCGTTCTCAATGGCTAGCGCAGATGCATCCACTCCTTGTGACTTATGATTTCCAATGAGACTGTTTTGTTCTTCGTTAGTACTATTCCTTTGTCTCACACACCTCTGTTTACTGTCTGTGTTATGCATTTCTTCTACCTTCTTCTCTTGGTTTGTGTGCTACAAAGAGGGAGTGTGGCGACTTGAACTGGTGCACATCTGTGCAAAGTTCTATGTCGAAAACAGACAGACTGCTGGATGACAAGTTGAATACTTTTTTAGATCAGAATGATTAATGGAAATCATTCTACAATGTTTCATGGTCAAATTTTAATGAATGCAAAACAAACTGCTATTACTCAGTAATAAAAAGATGTTTGTTATTTATTTTAGAATTACATTTCCAAAGGCAAACTGTGCGTTCAAAATCAAACCAATAGTAATACTTCTTTATTCCTTCAAACATGACTGGAGAATCCGACTTTGAACGACTATGGTCTGATCTTAAAGGTCTTTTGGCCAAGAAACCATCAGAACATTGTTCTGTATCTACACAGGATGAATATTTCATTAAAACTCAAAGTAAATTCATTCAGCTGATAACCTGCTATCCGGTTCATGCGGTCGAACACAAGCTGGAATTGGAAATGTGGAATGTTCTTTACAAAACACGGATTGACACTTTACAGTCAAAGGTAAGTTACGTGAAATGGCTACTGCTATTACATATATTTATATGCCTATACTTCAATATATTTCGTTATTGTCGAAAGAATGGTGGGCATTATTTTCTGGTAGTTTTAGCGATGATTTCAGCGCAGTTTGTTAATAAAAAACACCCATAGTGTTGTGACTCATTTAGAGTCTGTAGTAGCTGTTTTTTCATTTACCTACGAAAAGTGTTTAAAACCAAATAAAGTATAATTATATTTCAATAGTTTACACACAATGATACGTTTTGTTTGAAACAAGCAACAAAGGTTAATAAATCGAGATTTAATAAATTCATCAAGTTTCAGTAGAACTCGTCAGCTGAATACTCTACATACACGGATATATATATACTTTTGAAATTACATTGGGAGATATAAGACTGATGAGAAAATAAATAAACTGTATCGAATCAGTCACGCAGAAAGACAGGTGGCAGTGTTTTCCAGGTCATGTTCAAATAGATAAGGAAAGACAGACGATTTCCACCGAAATTTAATGAATTCATTAAATCCTGCTTTACTAACTCCCTCGTTGCTTGTTTTAAACAAAACTTATCATTGTGTATAAACTATTAAAATATAATTGTACTTTATTTGATCTAATCCACAATGCTCAAACTTTTTACTGACATTAGTTAAAACCACTTCACTAGTACATTTGGCCAAGTTAAAGTATCCTAGCTAAAGTCAAGGTCTTTCAAAAGTTGTTGACCTCCTAGGATCAATCATCTACGGGGAATGCTAGCAAAGGTCATTCCAAATCAAATTATGCCCACGTTTTTGCAATGGGAGAGGCTAGATACAGTATTCTACTTATTTACTAGGTACATCTCTGCAGATGTACATCGTTAGGTAGCGTTACGGCTTTTTACATTAAGTTTTAGGGTTATAGCTAAGATTAGGAGTTAAGATTATGATTAGAGTTAGAAGTGGGCGAAAAGACGGAATCAGAAAAACCAATGGTTCTCAAGGTACCATGACGCACAGTCACCTGGATGAATCCCTCTATCTATCGTGCCCGTACGTTATGATTTCTCAAACAGATCATCTGTGTAATAATCGAGAGACATTCTCACAACACATAAGCTACAACTATACAGTGTATTATCTTGTTTTTGAGTGGTCTTCAGTGCAGGTTCCAACGATTATGCAACTGTCTCTGTACCTGAATTCTGATTGGTTGTTCAAGGTCACTGTGGTTAGTAGACTACTTAAACACGGCACTAGTGGTTATTTAATTGAAGTTTCCTTATGAGTATAATTTGTGCGAATATGTCCAGAAGTAGTTTTCACTAGCTTAGGCAAGGAATTGAAAGGAATCAGTTTACTGGTTTCAGAGACAAAGTTTACTGATACAACCTTGAACAACCAATCAAAATTCTGGTACAGAGAAAGTTTTTGAGGTGCTTGTGTTCTCTAAGCTGGATAGTTAATTTGCGAAGCTTTCATCGCCCTACTAGGCGACATCTTCAACGCATACTTCAATTTACTGAAGTGAGCTTTTAGATTTCTCCATGAGTTTATTAATCAATAGACACATCGGAATAGACAAAATTTATTAACCGATAAGAAAGAAGCCTTACACACAAAGGGTCAAAGCTCAAGTCAAAGAGACAATCAGTTCCAATACAAGTAACCTAGAAGGTGTGAAAACACAAAAAGACAACCAATTACGTCCAAGGTCACCCACCAGGAGAGATGATTAATAAACTCGTAGATAAATCTAAAAGCTTACTTCAAATTGAAGTATGCGCTGAAGATGTCGCCCAGTAGGGCGATGAGAGCTTCGCAAGTATTAACTATCCAGTTCAGTGAACAAAACCACCTGGAAATCATCCACCTGAGCTACAAATCTTCTCTATCACAGAGAAAGTTGCATAATCGTTGAAAAATACACTATAATAACTTAGCAGACATGATATGATACTGTATAGGTGCAGCTTATGTGTTGTGAGAATGTCTCTCAATCATTACACAGATGATCTGTTTGAGAAATCATAACGTACGTGCGCAATAGTGGCGTTCATCCAGGTGACTTTGCGTCATGGTACTTGGAGATCCATTGATATTTCTGGCACCAGTATTCAACCTACTCCTAACTGTAGTGGTAATGCTAACTTTAACCGTGAAACAATCTTATAAGTCATAACCCTACCTGACAGTATAGATATACAGATAAATTGTACCCAATAAACAAGTAGCATACTCTATCTACCTTTTCCAGGTCCATAAAGCCAGACATGATTTGATTTGGAATGATATGTCATTGTCCTTCTCTGTATCTGATCGGTTCTTGAAGGTCAACAACTTTTGAAAGATCTAGACTTTGGCTACGATACTTTAACTTTACCATACACAGTTTTATGTATACTAGGCTATTAAACATATATATATATACATATATATATATATATATATATATATATATATATATATATAAGCCAGCACCAGTCACCATCAAAGGGAGAAATTCGACAGAGGCTACTCCCTTCACTTATTCAGGAAGCATTGTTTCAACCACAGGTAGAACGGATGGGGATGTCATAATCAGCCAGCCAGAATCGGAAAGGCAAGATACGCTTTCATCAAACTGAAAAAAGTTTGAAAATGGTGTGCACTCCGCCTCGGTAAAAGCAGGGAGATTCGGATTCTGTTCAACACATTTGGGAAGTCAATGTCTGTCTGACTGGATTCAACATAGAACTTGGCACAGAAATGCAGCAGTTCGAGTTGGGAAGTCAATCCTCCTATACGGATCAGAAACTCGCGCTGCGTGACACCAAAACAATTTTCAACAAGTTACAGACTTCCCTGGCTGTATACTGAAGATCAAATGGCTGACTAGAAAAATTTAGCAACAAAAAACTGGCAAGAAACTGACTAACAGTCTATTGTTCAACAAATATATTTGGAGAAACTGGAGATGATGGATTGGGCTTACGTTGAGGAGGCCCGCGGATGACATCATGCGCTAGGCCATGGCTCGAATGTAATCCCAATGGGAAGCGATGAGAGGGTCGTAAGTACGTGGGTGACATGTAGGAGATCGTGAGAGGAGGAGATGGGAGAACATGGGCAATCGTGGACCTAGCTGAAGAGGATAGCAGAAAATAGAACAACTTGATGTGTTGTTGAAGCCCTGTGATCCACTCGGAACCCAACGGAATAATATATATATATATATATATATATATATATCAAGGTCTTGTGTTCAGTAATCCCTAGTAGGTCTTGTAATCACCCATTGCTTCAGAGCATTACTCAACTAGGGCGAAACAACTCTCCACTGTTCTTTTATTTCCAGTAGTTGTCTAACATATCACTTCATGACGAAAACTTCGTTGTAATCAAAGCATTTCTTCCCCACTGTTTTTTCTTTCTTTCTAGTTATCTCAATCCTTTTCTATTATGGATAATGGTGGATTACTCAGATGTTCACCTTTAGAACTTAAACTTCGTCTAGTCTTACTATTCGATCGTGCTTCAGGAGTTTATTTCAATCTTATTTATCAATTACTTCAACCATTGTCAGAATCAGCATGGCCTAAATTGGTAAGTTTTGTTGTTTTTGTTGTTTTTACGAGTTTGACCACGGATTGATATCAGTTAGAGAACCAGCAATGGAGTACTGACAGACAGCTGTTTCATCAGCCTAGTTTGAGAATCATCGGTAGTACCCACCCACCACCAGGGTTCGAACCGAGGACATTCCGGTTATAAGGCAAGTTCGTATATCATTCAGCCACTGGGACCCGATTCAATGGCCAGTCCATGGATTCTAACTTCTACCAATTCGTGATTTAGCGCGACCCCAATCAATGTCGTCGGTGGGACATCCATTCTCACATGTGACTTCTTGCTTCTACGAATTGGTAGAAGTTAGAATTCATGAGCCATTGAGGAGTTGGGTCCCAGTGGCTGAATGGTATACGAACTTGCCTTGTAACCGGAATGTCCTGAGTTCCATCCCTGTCAGTGGGGTGGGTGCGTAATAATAATAATAATAATAATAATTTCGCTTTTATTCCAGAAACAGTACTAGTGGTACAGTATGGATTTTTCAGCACATATCTACAATATTGCATCTAATTTCATCGAACATTTAAAAGGAGTATTACAAAAAAAATAAATATATAAAAACAACAAAACCAAAAAGAAACACAAAAATAACAAAAAACGCAAATAAAAATACCAAGTAGAAAGGAAGATAAACACCAATAATGAAAAAATATTTCAGTATTGGGTAGTGGAAGCTATAATATGTGTATGTGTGGTGAACAGTGACAGCTATAATCATGCAAGAAATTATGAGATGTTCTTAAGAATGTTTATAGCCAAGATGATCAGTTAATTTGATTGAACAGCACTAAACAATCATAAAATAAACATTTCAGGGTTTTTATTGTCAGCACAAATGCGCTATTTGTTGTGGTAGAGAGGGAGTAATCATGCATAATACAAAAATTTTAAGATGGTGATAACGGCGTTCACAACCAAGATTGTCAGTTAATATTGCCAAACAAAAAAACAATCACAAAATTAATATTACATGAAGGTTATTGGCAGGATAATTTTGCAATACTCATAGTCCTAATATAATCGGGACCAGGAGATACACAAAAGAAGGAGTAGAATAAAGATTAAAAAAGTAAGCCAATGATAATAATAACAGTGGCTCAATACGGACACTTGGAAACTAATAGAAGAGAGAAGGACAGTGAAGCAAAAGATTATCCAGTGCACGGACGAGCAACAAAAACAGGAGCTGAATGCAAGCTACAATACACTGAACAAAAGAGTGAAGAAAAGTGCCAGGGAAGACAAAAGAAAATATTATGAAACCATGGCAAACGAAGCAGAACAAGCTGCAGGCAAAGGAGACCTCGCCACACTCTACCAAACAACTAGGAACCTTTCGGGCAAACGTTCGACACAGATTAAGCCAATAAAGGACGACAATGGAAAGTCAATCACCAAAGAGGTGGAACAGAGAAAGCACTGGGTTGAACACTTCAAAAGACTTCTAAATCGTCCGCCACCTACAACACGTCCAGCAATACCAACAACGGAAGCAGAACTACCAGTGAACACTGACCCCCCGACGAAATCAGAAGTCCTGAATGCAATCAAGATGCTTAAAGCTGGGAAAACACCGGGACCAGATGGAATCCCAGCAGAGGCTTTGAAAATAGACCCAGAGACAACAGCGGACTTGATGACACCACTACTGGAGAAGGTGTGGAAAGAGGGCAAAGTACCCGAGGATTGGAAGAACAGTTACTTATTCAAACTTCCAAAGAAAGGAGACTTAAGTCAATGTAAAAACTGGCGTGGAATTATGCTTCTGTCCATTCCAAGCAAGATACTAAGTCGCATCATCCTGGAGAGAATCAAACAAGCCCTAGATGAAAAACTTCGTCCGGAACAGGCTGGATTCAGGAGAAACAAATCATGTATTGATCAAATCGCCACTCTACGGATCATCATTGAACAAAGCTTGGAATGGCAGTCACCTCTCTATCTCAACTTCATCGACTTTGAAAAGGCCTTCGACAGCGTCGATCGAGAGGTCATTTGGAAACTACTTCGCTACTACGGGGTCCCATCGACAATTATACACCTCATCCAACAGTTATACGACAATGCTGCATGCCAAGTAATCCACAACGGGAAACTTACGGAAGCCTTCGAAGTGAGGACGGGAGTGAGGCAAGGCTGTCTACTATCACCAATGATCTTCCTGATTGCAATTGATTGGATAATGCGACAGACAACGGCAACCAACGAGGGAACAGGCATAAAATGGACTGACACAAAAGACTTGGAGGATCTGGATTTCGCCGATGATATATGTCTGATTTCCCATAAACTGGAAGATATGCAAGTGAAAAGTAACAAGTTGGCAGAAGAAGCATCAAAGATAGGACTTCACGTGAACATAGATAAAACAGAGATAATGAAGATTCCTAGCCAACATCAACAACACCAACAGACCACAATAAGCATAAATGGGAAGAACCTGAAAGAAACAACCTCCTTCACCTACCTGGGAAGCATCGTCTCAACTACAGGCGGAACTGACGAGGACATCAAAGCCAGAATCGGAAAAGCAAGACAAGCTTTCATTACTCTCAAATCTGTGTGGAGGTCAACAGCAATCAGCATCAAAAATAAGATCCGGATTTTCAACTCCAATGTGAAGTCAGTGCTACTATACGGATCAGAGACTTGGCGAGTCATAAAGAGCATCTCAAACAAACTTCAAACCTTCATTAACAACTGTCTCCGCTCAATACTCAAGATCAGATGGCCAGAAAAGATCAGCAACAGGGATCTCTGGGAGCGAACCAATCAGGAACCGATTGTGAAACAAATAGGCAGAAAGAAATGGAGATGGATTGGCCATACGCTGAGGAAACCATCAAGTGACATCACTAGACAAGCCCTCGAGTGGAACCCGAAAGGGAGGCGGCGAGTTGGTCGTCCAAGGGTGACTTGGAGGAGGTCATGCGAGGAGGAGATGAAAGCATGTGGACAGACCTGGAGCAGGGTGAAAAAGTTGTCAGAAAACCGAAGTCAATGGAGGTGCGCAGCTGAAGCCCTATGTTCCTCTAGGAACTAAAGGATACAATAATAATAATAATAATAATTTTAGGTAGCTAAGTATGTTTAAGAAGGTTGTCCACTATAGAGTACGAATAAGGGAGAAATAAAAGGGCCAAAATTATGTTATTAACAACAAAGCAAGTTATAGGTTTCACGCTTGACATTGTCTCTATCACTTAGAACATGGGCCAAAATATGGTATCGTTGAGTTCCTATACTTGGTTGTACGAGCATATATTATTTTGTACTGATTTCTGGTTCTACCTGATGAGATACAAGGAGAGAGTCGGGAATAGAGGGGGTGTTTGGGGTCGGAGAGTATGGTTTTAGACTGCTGATGATTCTCAAACTAGGATGAGAAAGCTGTCCAGTACTCCGTGGCTAGTTTTTAACGGTTCTCTAAGTGATATCAATCCGTGATCAACTTTTGAAAAAACAGAACTAATCCTTACAAACCAACTATAGGAAAGTTTTTGTTGTTGTTGTAGATAATCTGCTTTTATAACAAATTATGCTGAATAATATATTGATATGTCAGTGTAGAGTTTTTTCATACTTAAGCTATACAGCCGCATATTGTGAGACCTGGCCACTGAGAGTGGAAGACATGGAAAGATTAGCTGTCTTTGATCATAGGTGCCTGCATTCTATCTCCCGTGTGAAGTGGTATTATAATAAGGTGAGCAATATTGAGGTTAGGCGTCAAGTTCTAGGTTAGCAGGGGAAATCAGTCGACGAGGTTGTGAAGTTACATCGACTGAGATGGTTAAGATATGTGTTACGTATGCCTAGTCATAGCCTTCCTCGACAACAGGAAATGTTAGCGGACAAAGGGTCAAGTTGGAAAAGAGCCAGTGGTAGGCAAACCGAAACACAGCATCAGTCAATGAAATCTACAACAGTTAGCTTAAGCCAGCCACGTAAGAAGGTGTAGACTTCCTGACTGGCTGGTTGGGGTCCTCGGGACGGTAAAAACCAATGGTTGGAAACAATTGGTGACATGGTTCAAAATCGTTCTCAATGGCTAGCGCAGATGCATCCACTCCTTGTGACTTATGATTTCCAATGAGACTGTTTTGTTCTTCGTTAGTACTATTCCTTTGTCTCACACACCTCTGTTTACTGTCTGTGTTATGCATTTCTTCTACCTTCTTCTCTTGGTTTGTGTGCTACAAAGAGGGAGTGTGGCGACTTGAACTGGTGCACATCTGTGCAAAGTTCTATGTCGAAAATAGACAGACTGACAGCCGCATATATATATTATTATTATTATTATTATTACTGTCTTAGTGAGGTAAAGGAGTACGTCCATTGGTTGGGGATCGAACCGTGAACCACCTGTAGCGTGGTTGACGAGCATTCTACCGCTGTGCCACCGACGCACCACTGAGGTGATTAGTTTCGTTTTATATGAGTACTCATGTTTTTTAAGCAAAAAATATTTTCTTCCCTTTTCGTCATAGATGCTTATAAATTCCAAAGATCATTTTAGCGTAATGAATAGAAATAATGTGAGACATGTATCCGACTGCATTGATTTGGATTTAGCAGCTTTTCGTGCTAATAAAACCTTCAGTAAACGCAGTAAATACTCCGGTGGTGGTGTTAAACAATGTTCAACAACTACAACTGACGAAAATACAAATACTATCACTCCACGTATACTTTCTCGAGGTGATCGTCTTCCTGCAGATATGCCAGCTACTTCAAAACTCGAAGACGGCTGCTACAAAATGACAAATGACTCAAATGTACAAACAACATCTCACAAACCAGTAGAAGATGATAGTGAAGGTGACAATAAGGTCGATGGTGATAATAATCTACAACTTGACTGTCTTCAACATTTGGATAAGGAAACAGCTGTCATCTACTTGGTACATCACTGTTTAATTCATTTGGGAGATATTGCTCGGTCAGTGTGTTTCTGTGTTTGTGTGTGCGTGTGTCTTTTAATTTGATTCGTTTTTTATTGATTTATTATTATTATTTTGTTGTACAAGAGGATATTTATTAACTTATATAAGAAGTTTGTAAGGTTCAAAATACTTAGAGACTTAGACTATCTCCTAACCTTGATGCTTCTTCAACAAGTTGGCAGAAGAAGCATCAAAGTTGGGACTTCAGGTGAACATAAAGAAAACGGAAGTAGGTGATGATTCCTGGCCAACAGCAACAGACAACAATCAGCCAGCATAAGTGGGAGGAACCTGAAAGAAACAACCTCCTTCACCTATCCACATGGGCAGAGGAAGTGATAAGGATATCAAAGCAAGGATCGGGAAATCAAGACAAGCTTTCATTACTCTCAAGTCTGTGTGGAGTTCAACAGCACTCATCATCAAAAATAAGATCCGGATTTTCAACTCCAACGTGAAATCAGTGCTACTTACTATGCGGATCAGAGACTTGACCATAGCGTCATGAAGAGCATCTCAAACAAACTTCAGACCTTCATTGACAGTTGTCTTCGCTCAATACTCAAGATCAGATGGCCAGCCAGAAAAGATCAGAAACAGGGATCTCTGGCAATGAGCGAACCAACCCAGCAGGAACCGATTGTGAAACAAATAGGCAGGAAGAAATGGAGATGGATTAGCCATACACTGAGGAAACCATCAGGTGAGTGACATCACTAGACAAGCCATCGCTCGAGTTGGTCGTCAGTGCAAGGTTGACTTGCAGGAGGTCATGTGAAGAGGAGATGAAAGCTTGTGGGCAGACTTGGAGCGGGCTGAAAACGTTGGCAGAGGACCGAACGCAATAGAGACGCGCGGCTGAAGCCCTATGTCCCTGTAGGAATTAAAGGAAATAATAATAATAGGCCGTCTCCTGCTAATCTCCTTTCTTCCGGCCGATAACTGCTATCTCATCGTAGTGGTCGGGCTTGAATACCGTAGTGACCCAACATGCTAAACTGACTGGGACTCTGTCCCTATAGGTCCTACCATGTCAGGAAGGTTGTTTGGATAGCGGTTAAACTAAAAGCAGTTACCATGGGGTACATGGGCTCCAATGTCCAGTCGGATCAAATGGCGTATGAACCCATATGGGTCACCGTCAACCATGGGAATGCAGCTCCCGACGCTGCTCCGCTGCCGTGCGGATTAGACTCCAAGTCAAAGGCTTGGGGGATGGTCCCTTAATAAAACCACCTTCTTCGGACTGGGCGCCCGGGCAGTATCTCAGCCCTCACATAATGAATTGAATGAAGCAACAAACAATCAAGGAAACTTATCGCGTGCTATTACACGTGTTGCAGTTTCCTTCTTTCTTCCCTTCCCGATGATAGTTAACGAATACTGTTTGAACTTGTTAAGCATGACTGTTTTCCTTCCAGATGAATTTCTTTATCCGTTCTTGATATGTATCCACATATATATATTTATGTGTGTGTGTGCATGTTGGTCTCTCTTTCTGTTTGCTCGGTTAGTCTGTGACCACTTCACTTGTATGAACTTGTCTCCTTTAATAATGTGTATTCTCCTTATATTATATTATATATAATATGAGTGTTGTTGACAGTCCGTTGCTTGGTGATATATATCCATATATGTTGATTGTTGGCATGTCTGTTATATTTCGCTATGTATATTTGGATCGACACTCCATTATAATTAGCCATTCATGTTAAGACTGTCTAATGATTTTTCCCACGCTTGTCTGGAACATTCATATATATTCGCATTCACAATTTGTGTGAACTACTTTACTTACTTACCACTTTTGGTGTGAGACCATTTATTTTCGTCTCCTTGTTTTTGGACAATAGAAGTATCATCGCAAACCTAGTGGTCTTCTGATTTCCACCTTCTTGCGTCAGGACTATTAGTTTCTCCACCAGTCCATAACAATAATTTAGCGACGAGTACATAACAGTTCTTTACTTATATTTTTTTCTTTTCTTTTTTGATGTATGTTGTTTTATTATTATTGTGTTGCGCATCCTTCTTGGTGCCATATTGTACCAAGTTTTGCATGCGTTTAAATAAATAAATATTCTTCGTTATACCCGGTGAAGTTAAAACACCTTAGCCAAAGTCAAGGTCTCCCAAAAGTTCTTGACATTCAAGAACCGATCAGGGTGACTATAAACTATAGCAGCCCAAACCAAAACTACCTAGCTAACGGATAAGTGATCTTGAGCAACTAATCAGGTGACTCCGTATTATAATCCAGACGTACTTATGTGGATGCTGTGTGCACCTTTTGCGTTGCAAATTCGCTCCAGATTTTGTTTTTTGATGTTTTGGGGGACGGGCTGATGTGGTGGTCAAAAAATTGTCGATGTGGAAGTGTCATGCATACACATAGATACACTAGGTGCATTGATGAGTTTGTTTACAGGTGCAGTGAGTGCCGAACCAGAAAATCAGTTTGAGAAGATATGTCGTTTTTTTTTAGTTAACAGATTCCGTAGGTACTTTTTTTGCTAAGTCTAAATTACCTTTAACGAAAATTTTAATGATGTGTCATAACTGGATGCTTAAAAGACCAGTAACAGCAACACCGTATGAATCAGAAAATTCAGAAGTGTCTGCAATGCAATGGTACCAGTACTGCAGAGACGTAACATGGAAAATGAACAGGCTGGCCCAAGTACTTGGCATCATTGTTCATGTGGATGAAACGGTGTTGACAAAAAGAAAATATAATCGAGCGAGATTGGGTACAAATCAGCAGTGGGTGTTGGGGATATATGACACCAACCTCCACATAGGGTACATAGACGCGATCCCTAATCGCAGTGAAGATGTCTTATTGCCCATTATCCAGCGCTTGGTGCTGCCTGGAACAACTATTCACACAGATGAATGGAGTAGTTATAGTCAGCTATCAACCCTGGGTTAAATTCAACACGTCGTCAAGCATACAAATGATTTCATTAGTCCTTTCGATGGAACTCATACTAATTCCATCGAAAGTTTTTTGAGTCAAATCAAAAAACGGATCAGATCTGTGAATGGATCAAGAAATGCAATGATATACAGTAATCTCGATGAGTTTATGTACAGGACTCGGCTTAACATAAGTATCAAGACTCCTGTGAGAAATGGGAGGTTTTTTTGGAACATGTACGAGAACGTTATCCTTTGTAACTATTTCTTAACATTGCATTACTTTTATGTACACGATTTATTAAAATTATGCGCCCTTTTTATAGAGGGTTCTGATTGGTCAAAGCTGTCGTTGTCAAGGTCATTTATCCGTTCGCAATGTGGTTTCGGTTTCGGCTGCTATAGTTTAGAGTCGTCCCGATCAGACTCGGGGTATGCTGTGAAATATCAGTCCAAATCAAATGATGTCTGTCTTTTTGGAGTTAGAGAATGTATATACAGTGTTCTACCTATTTACTAGATATGTAACGACAGAAAACAAGAGCCAGGAAACAGATTGTTTATTGAGAAAATCAGACATTTATCGATTTTTATGTACACTATAATGAGCTTTATTGTTGGCAGAGAAGCAACGTCATCTGATTGGTTGTTTTCCTGCTGAAGGTTATTCTGTCATTTCTTTGTGACCGTTTCTTAGACAGCCTGTTGATATATCTGCAAATCGTATCCGCCCACGCTAAGTGTGCTGTGATTGCCTGTTGAGTTGGTCTTAGTTCTTTTTTTTTCTCATGACGAAGATTTGGGACGTAAATATTGACGTAAATTGTTGTTTACAATATGGGCTAGGAGACAGCTCTCACCACAGATACACCTATGTAAATCTACACCGTTGGGTAGGATTATGGCTTTTAAGATTGACTTTAAGGGTTAGGAGTTGGGTTTATGATTAGGGGGTAAAGTTAAGTTTTAAGCACCACTAACTACCAATCAGCGAATGACCTTGAACGCGCCAATCACATGAAGGAGGCATTTTTGTGTATGGAATACATATATTTACGAAAAAGATGCATAAAACCGTGGAATAGTGTTACAGAAGACACCTTCCTCTCACATGTGTTAAAAACAGCTTTCATTTTCAGGTTGGAGTATCAACAGAGTATAGTTCTATTGTGGGTAAAATTTATTTTGATAAAGTCTCATAATGTAATACAGTAATATTCACAGGGCTAGAAACTTCATCTGTGAATATTACTGTGAGACTTTATCAAAATAAAATAAGTTTTACCCACAACGGAATTATACTGTACCACAGTACACAAGTTCTATTCTTGTATCAAAAAAAGTCATTTAACAACATTCAATGCATGTAGTTATTTAGATCTTATAACCCTGACAATAACCCTAATCTTTCCTGAACCTAACCCTAAGTTGCAAATATCCCTAAACTAGTCGTAATCTAACTTGTACCAACCCTAATGTCGCCTTCATTAGGTTAACCTAACCCTAACTTGTCCTTGGCTTGAAGCGTAACTTAATCTTTCCCAAACCTAAGCTGTAACTTGCCAGATATCCCATTTAATAGCGAAACACTTCGATGAGCATATTCTGATTGATGATGACAGCATTATTTGCCGTTTCACTTACTTGCTCAGTGAGCGTTTCCAGGTCATTGGTTTGGTCGCACTCCACTGGTATGTAGTGGTGCTTGAAGTTTAATTTGGCCGATTAGAGTTAGAAGTAGGTTAAAGGACAGAGTCAGAAAAATCAATGGATCTCAAAGTACCATGACTTACAGTCACCTGGATGAATGCCTCTGTCGCTCACGCACGTTATGATTTGTCACACAGATCGTGTGCGTCATGATTGAGAGACATTCTTGGAAGACATACGCAACAAATATACAGTGTAATTTCATGTTTTCAGTGGTTTTCAATGCATATTTCAACGATTATGCCACTTCTTTCCTTGTCTGAATTCTGATTGGTTGTTCAAGGTCACTGTGGCTATGATGGTTTAACTTCACCGTTGGACCTTCTGATTTTAAACACATAATTTGCGTTCGTCAGTCAATTCTTAGCCAAAAACTTTTAGTAATATATCGAAACTTCATGGAATTCTTTCCATTAATAAACTTTAACAAAGCAAGAACAACAATTGTACCAGGATAATTGATATGAGCTCATCTTTTATTATCTCGAGGATTCTTCTCAACTGGTTACAACCTGAACGATAAAAAAAATTCGAATTACATTAAACATATGAACATACTTTTCCACGATCACAAGGAGTAATTCGTTGGTAGGAAGTAAAAGTAACATTAGTCCGGAATGATTAGGAGTTACAAACACTTACTATTTGTAGAATAATTAGACAATTAGGCTTGGAAACAAAAATCAGGGTTGGGTATATATATATATATATATATATATGTAGAAACAAGGTTTAGCTAGAAAGAGCATAAAAAAAGTAGATTACGTAACTAAAGAAACTGTCTTATCTAATAGCCAATAGAAAAAGGAAAGAAAAGAAAGAAGGTAGGGTGAGAGTCATATTTAGATGAGAGAGTAGAGTTTTCTAAACATGAAAAAAGTGACTTATGAAAGTTGTATCTATTTTTTTTGTTATCACCAGGGTAGTGCAAGATTCACCACTGTCTCTTTCTGCGTACATAGATTTGGTTTAAGTCGTTTGATAGCGATTGTTTCAGCAAAGCATAAGAAGCTAGGTTTCTTTTGCTTGTTGATTATTTTGAACGACTTCAGGTTGTCTACAATATGGCCAGTGTCCAATAGATGATGAACAATTGCAATGTTTAATGCTTGCGAACCTCTCAGGTTCTTTGGTATGTGTTCATAAATGCGGACACTAACCCTTTTCTCCCTGTTCTTCCAATGTATGTGCTTTGGCACGTACAACATGTAAATTGGTAGACACAGTTGGAGGTAACATGAAGTGGGTATATATCGAAAGACGGAAATATTTAGGATCGTCGCTGTTGTTTTCAATTAGACTAGGTTAGGCGGGGGGGTGGGAAGGGGGCCTAATGCTGCACAATATTATTCTACTAACGGGCATTTTATCGTAGATAATACTGGCCGAAGTTTTGTCTTATTTTTCAACATCATTCTTTTCGCAGACATCGTTCAAATCAAGGATATCTTAGTCCTATTCAGTTTACCACACATATATAAATAATAATAATGTGTTTCATTGAAAAAAGAGGCGCATCGGTGGCACAGCGGTAGAATACTCGCCAACCACGCCACTGGTGCTTCGGGGTTCGATCCCCGGCCACTGGACGTACTCCCTTACCTCGATCGCTAGGTCAGTAATAAGACTGGTAAAGAGGGAAGGTTGGGCATGAGGCTAACGACCCCATCTAGTAAACAAAAGCAAGCACCACTGCTACCGAAACTTCAAGTCTCTAGCTTGAAGCCCTGTGTTCCACCGACGGGAACGCAAAGGAATAAAAAATAGTTGAGAAAAAACAGTACTTATAATACAGCATGGAATTGCCAGTATTTCTCACAATATCTCATCTAATTTATTCAAAGCGTCCTAAAAACCTTAACCACAGGAACGTCTCCACATTTACATTGGGAATAATGTTAAAAATATGCAAAGTATAAAGTGAGAGAGAGAATAATACCAATAATAATAAAAACAGTAGGTTTGTTTCAAATAGTGTTGTCGATACTGTATGGAAATCTTAGCACGCTGTCGAATATGTAATCTAATGTCCTCTTGACTCTACACTAAAATATACTTCTTCCATCAAAATGTTTTACCAGTCAAGTGGTTATTTTAGTTAATCAGTTTTAGGTATAGGAAGTGGGTGGGTGGGTGGGTGGGTGTTGTGAAATTCAGAGGTTAAAGGTCATCAAAACAAATAACAAGCCAAGCCTCTGTGTGTTCAAAAGAAACTTCTACAGTTAGTTCCTTTCTTTACCATGGCCAACTACATAATATGTATTATATAACTATCTTTTGACTTTGTTAATTTTCAAAATTCTAGCTAATTTTATTAACCTATTTTGCATTTTACGTAATTCTTCTTAGTCATCGTTATTTTACAAATTTCTTGATTACGCAATAATTTGTTGCTAATGCCTAAGAATCCACTTATCTTGAATTCCGTAATTAATTCTCACCTCTATTTTAAAAGCTTGCGTATCGTGTTACTAATATGTCAAACTTGATTTCTATGTCAATTTCTACCATCAATTTTATAACGGTCATAGGAATTAACAGCTTCATTTAACTTTATTCTATTTCGGGAACTGAAATTACCCGTCTGACACTGATATGTATCCATATATATATATATATATATATATATATATATATATATATATATATTTATGTGTGTGTGTATGTTGGTCTCTCTTTCTGTTTGCTCTCTTAGTCTGTGACCAATTCACTTTGATAAACCTGTCTCCTTTAACAATGTATATTCTCCTTATATTATATTATATATATAATATGAGTGTTTGTTGACAGTCCGTTGCTTGGTGACATATATCCATATTATATGTTTGTTTGTTGACATGTCTGCTATATGTATATATGGATCGATACTTCATTATAATTAGCCATTCATGTTAAGACTGTCTAGTGATTTGTTCACACCCTTTGTCTGGACATTCATATATATTTCGCATACACAATTTGTGTGAACTACTTTACTTTACTTACTTACCACTTTGGTGTGAGACCATTTATTTTCGTCTCCTTGTTTTTGGACAATAGAAGTATCATCGCAAACCTAGTGGTCTTCTGATTTCCGCCTTCTTGCGTCAGGACTATTAGTTTCTCGACCAGTCCATAACAATAATTTAGCGACGAGTACATAACAATTTGGCGACGGGGAAAACTAGTACATAACAGACATTTAGAAGGATTTAGTTTAAGACCATGAGACAAAGACTATTCGCTGATTCCTGATAGAAAACTGTTCATCTTAATTAAGTCATTGAAAGGGTCAGATCATCAGCATACCTAACAGAGCTGATTTCATCAGAGTGAGGCAAGTCATGCAAGAAGAAAGAACAGAGCCTTGAGCGATGCCAGCCAGCTTCACAGTAAGCAATAAAATGGATGACTTCCTCTTACATACAGTGTGTATTGCTTTTTTCCTGTGACATAAGAATGCAACCAGTTTGAGTTACAGCAAGCTTGCCTAACAAAATATCCCTAGGTACCGTGTCAAAAGCAGATGTATAATCTAGGAAGGCTCAGCGAATAAATTTAGCCCCTTTATCCAAATGTTTGCACATTATTACAATCGAACGTATTCTCAAAGATCAAATTTTAAAACGCTGGTTAATATCTCTTTTTTTGGGATAAAAGGGACCTAGGTAGAGTTTGCCTAACCTTACCGTCTTTAAGATACAATCACATTAAAAATACTTCTGTGAAACTAACATAGAAAGTTGATTCATTCACATGGACACAGATCAGTTGACGTTATCAGACATACTGATTGCTAAACTATTCAAATACACTAGAATACACATGTCCGAATTTCTGCTCACCCATAATCTAATGTATTCTAAATCATAGCAACAATGGCCGGCTCTTCAACGTTTAAGCTTTAAGCTGTAAAGGTCTGTGTCAAATCAACAGTTAAACCCTTCCCTCCCTCCCCCCTCAACCCCCAGTATAACAGATTCATGGAACTGTTCTCCATAATTCTCGTTCTTCATGTATTGGTTTTATAGGGATTTTTTGTCTGATTGGTTGGAGGAAGTCATCATAAGCTGACATCAGTTAAGGAAACATTGGAAAACCTGGGAGTAGTGAACATTCAGCTGTTTCGTCAGCCTAGTTTGAGGCTGTTAAGCAGTACGCACCCACCCCACTGCCAGGGTTAGAACCCAGGACCTTCTAGTTATATAGCTAGTGAGCTCGTATATCATTAAGCCACTGGGACCCAATCCAATGGCCAGTCGATGAATTCCAGCTCCTGCAAAATCACCTACGATATAGTGCGACTGGCATTAGCCAATGTCATCAGCATTTGTCCTCAAACCTGTACCCCAGTGACTTATTGGTCTATGAACTACAAGGTCCTGGGTTCGAACCCCAGTGGGAGGTGGATGTGTACTGATGTAGGGTCCCAAACTAGACTCACAAAACAACCTTCCAATACTCTCAGCTGGTTTTCCAGTTGTTCGCCAATCGATGTCAGGTCATGATGGAGTTCTGTAACCAGTCAAATCAAAAGGCTGCAAATCAACACTTGAATAATCTAACTTTTTGGTAGAATGTTTTACGTACACTTTGTTGAAATTCATTGTTTTTAGTGTGTATTTTTTGTTTGTAGATATCGTCAACAACGAAATGTTGCTGCTGGTTATTACCTTTGGGCATGGGCTGTACATCCTGATTCTGGTCATTCATTTAACCAATTGGCTATTTTGGAAGCGACAAAAGTTGGTAGATTTCTACACTTTTTTTTATCTATTTATTTATTCCTTCACGTTTCCAGTGGTGAAACGTAGGGCAGCTTCAAGCTGGAGGCAGGCTTGCAGTTTCGGTAGCAATGGTGTTAACTTTTAGGGGTGTGGGTTTGCTAGCCAGCCAGCCTCATGCCTAGCCAACCTTCCTTCTTTATACTAGTCTTATTGCTGGCTTAGAGAGCTAGGTAAAGGAGTCCGTCCAGTGGCCGGGGATCGAACTCCAAACCACATGTGACGGGGTTGGCGAGCATCCTAACGTTGTACCACCGACGCAAATTTTTACATGCTTAGTTTGTAATTTTCCTTTTTTTTGATTTGCTTGGAAAACATTGAATCGCTAAATGAAACATAAGGCATATCATATTTGAAATGGTTTCACACTTAAGATATATTTCGATGTTAAATAAAAAAGTTACTCTTCAAGTATTGGTTTCTGTAGGGATTTTGTTTGATTGGATGGAGGATTTCATCATAAGCTGACATCAGTTAGAAAACCACCGCTGTCCAGTACTCCTAGGTTTTCCAGTGGTTCCTTAACTGATGTTAGCGCATGATGAAATCGTCCATCCAGTAAGTCACTCTTCTCGAATTCATGCAGCCAGGTAAGGGCCTATGGAGAGTTGTTATCTGAAGTTGTGATGACAACCAGTGGCGTCATCATATATGTATGTGCTAATGGACGAACTTAAGCTTAAATAACTCCAGCGACTTGTTACCTCCACGGAATAATAGTCTTGTTGAATTAGAATATGCGGATGTTATAGTCCTCTGTCATAGGTGAAGACATTAACAAGATAGATCTGAATCTTTTGAGAACCTTGAGAAGCAGCGATCTTTGAATGTTTGCCATGTGATTCGCTCCTACTGCTGTGTGTAAGATGATGCCATAGGACTGGACTGGACCACATCGACCCACTACTAGGCTAACGATAGGGAGACAGTGAATTGGTAGAGATTGTTGACCACTTCACGTATTTGGGAAGTTTCATCAGCCGGCAGCAAAGGGCTGATCGCTGATTAAATCTCAGAACGGATAGAGAAAGCTTATCTGGCATTTGCTAACTTACGGTATTTCTAGCTTAGTTGACGTGACCTCCGGCTGACTGGCTGTCAACCAAAGGACGTGTGCACTGTTCAGCAGCAGCAGTCACTTTGCTCCCTCCTTCTTTATGGCTGGCTGGCTGGCCAGCTGTGAGTAAGACATGGCCGCCATTCTATGTCTAACTAAATTTTTGTGTTCCAAATAGTCAAGTTGACCATTCTAATTGGTGGGTGGTGAATAGCAGCGGGATTCAAAATAAAGTGCATTTCGTCCCATTTGAGGCTCGTCAACTGGATGTACCTGCATTCCCCAGTGAGTGATTGTGTTCCTACCACTGAGGCTCGAACCTAGTGCCCATAGTTTCAAACACCAAAGCGTTATCCACTATACCACTTGGGCCACGATAGCCACCTCTTGTGCAACGTATCATATTAATTATTTGATTCAACTTTAGATTTTCCCGTCGATATTGATTGAATGAACCGAAGCGCTCGGTCTCAGTTTGATATATCGGCTTCTCGTGCTGATGCTGACAAGTTCCAAATAGGACGAAATGCGTCTTATCCTAGATTCCACAATGCTAGTCACCATCCACCAATTAAATATTAATTAAATGCCCAGGCATCGTCGAAGCATCTGCACATGGAAGAGCCGACATATCAACCTGAGTAGACCGAGCACTTCGGTCCAATCGATCAATCAATCAATCGACGGGAAAATCCAAAATTAAATTAAATAGTTGACCCTTCATCTACTAGTTTGACTGGGCTGTGTAATTGACCCCTCCTCCTGATCATTATATGCTAATTGGTTTTATTTTTCATCAATGTATTTATGGGATCAAATAAATTATAATTGTATTTCAGTAGTTTGTTAGTATGTCGAGGGAAATTACTGCCCGTGTGTGTGTGTGAGATCACGCCAACTGTTGGAATTGTTATTCAATTCCTTTTTTCATAATATAGAACTTAACGTTGCAAAACGAAATCGATTTAGAGTGACAAGTGGAATGAGTGAAATAATATCAGGGGCAGTTCAAAGTGAGAATAATAATAATAATAATAGTAATAATTCACGTAATAAAGGAAGTGTATGCAAATTGAATAAGCAAGTAAAACGAAAAATCAGTAGATCCAAAATATGAAATGGGGATTATCATGCTTTGACAAAAAGGTGAATTAATTCAAGTAATTGGTTTGTAGGGATTTGATTGATTGGTCACAGGATTTCATCATGAGCTGTGACATTGGTTAGAGAACCATTGAAAAACCAACTGGGAGTAGTGGACAGCCAACTGTTTCGTCAGCCTAGCTTGGGACTCTTCATCCGTACGCACCCACCGCCATGGTTCAAACCCAGGACCTACTGGTTACAAAGCTAGCGAGCTCGTAGACCATTAAGCCACTGGGACCCGATCCAATGGCCAGTCCATGAATTCTAACTTCTGCCAATTCACGACATAGCGCGACTGCTAGCCAATGTCATCGGCGAGTATTTGTCCTCACACTCGATCTGCTGCGCCCTACTGGTCACGACTTTCTACTAGAACCCAGGTAACTACCTACCTGATGGGATTAAGACTATGAAAGTTGGAGGGGTTGAACTAACTTATTCTGTATACAGAGTTCTGGCTTCTTCATCTGCTTCGATGGCCAGAGGTAGCTTTAGCAATACAGAGGAATCGAAGACTTAGTAATTTGGGTAAATTACTTTCCTCCTTGTAGATGACTTTAAAGGCAGAGACTGTAGAGAGAGAAATAGGGTGATCATTATCGACCAGACATTCAATAATCGCGCTTATTACAGCTCTACTTTTACCTCTTCGTAACCACCATGCAGGATAGTATTCTAGGCCCCCTCATGGAAAAAACTCGAGTCAAACGGCTTATATACCTAGCTCCAGGTGAGCAGGTGAATCGATAAACGCACACAGAGTTGATTAACTGAGGGATGCTTTTTTGTTTTAATCTAAAGCTTAATTCAATTAACTTTTCTTCTGATCGCTTGCAGTAATTATATTTATGGACTGCATTTTCTCCTACCCTGTGAAATAACTAACCAACGTTGTTATTAGTAATTGACTAACTAATTAACTATTGATTGACTGATTGATTGATTATTGATTTTATTTTTAATATTCATTCATTTTTAGCCTTTATCCAATCGATGTATTGATGCATTATTTTATTATTATATTCGTGGAATTTCATGTGAACATGTTTTTCCAGCAGCGATGAATAATTTAACTAGTATACTATCAAATTGTTTACAATCATCGTCGACTTGTCAACTGAATACTACGCAAAAAACATCTAAAGAATCGATAAAATTTCAAAAATTAAATAAAAAAACATGGCCAATATATGATAATTTACAAATTCAAATATTTATAGAATTTTATGCTGAGCTACAACTGAAGAAAGGTATACATATATATGTATATTTATGTTGATGTAACTTTTTTAGTGGTAGATGGTGACTAGCAATGGAATCCAGGATGCGCATTTCGTCCCATTTGGGACTCGTCAGCCATTGGATGTACCTGCATTCCCCCAGTGAGTGATGATGTTCCCACCGAGGCTCGAACACAGTGTTCGTCCTGGATTGCACTGCTAGTCACAATCCACCACTTAAATTCTAATTAAATGCCCAGACATTGTCGAAGCATCTGCACATGGAAGAGCCGACATGTCAACCTGAGTAGACCGAGCACTTCGGTCCAATCAATCAATCAATCGACGGGAAAATCTAAAATTCAATTGATGTCACTGTTTTGTCACTGTTTATTCTGGTTCTGTGTGACTACTATATTTTATGTATTTTAGGAGAATAAGAGAATAAATTTAGTGAATGGTGACTGGCAGTGGATGGAATCCAGGCTAGCATGCATTTCGTCCCATTTGGATCTCATCATCTTGATGTGCCTACATTCTCCAGTAAATGAGTGATGGTGTTCCCCTCACTGACGCTTGAACCAAGCACCCATAGTTTCAAATAACAAAGCCTCGTTAAGAGGGGAACATCATCACTCATTCACTGGGGAATGTAGGTACATTCCAGATGAGGAACCAGTTAGTGTCAAATTTTTTATGTTCCTTCGCCTTCCGAGTGGAACATAGGGCTTCAAGCTAGAGCTTTGAAGTTTTGATTAGCAGTGATGTTTTTTTCCGGGGTGAGGTTGCTAGCTTCGCACCCAAGCTTCCCTTTTTGTGAGGATTGTAACCGACTAAGTGAGGTAGAGGTATGCGCCGGTTGGGACTCGAACCTCGGACCACGTGCAGTGTGGTTTGCCAACAGTCTACTGCTGAACCACCGACGCCAGTCCCAATTAGGAGGGTGAAATGCGCGTTATCCTGGGTTCCATCCACTGTTAATCACCATTTACCAAATTACTTAACGTTAAATCGCCAGACGTCGTCGAAGCATCCTTACAAGGAGCTGACATGTCAACCTGAAGCCGAGAATTTCGGGGGTCCAATGAATCAATGGGGATGTGCAAATTGGACTAAATAATTTTTTCTATCTACTGTATAAAACAAGCAGAATTTAATGAATTCATCAAACTCTTCAGCTGAATACTTTACATACTACAATGTTTTGTATTGAATTTTGGAAAATGCATAGGAAGATATCTGACTAATAAATAACTTGCAATGAATCATATTTCTCTCATTAACTGTCTGACTGGTTTCAACATAGAGTTTTGCACAGATGTCCAGAAGTTCCAGTTGCTACTCTCCCTCTATTTACCACAAAAAGCAAAAGAAGAGAGTAAAGAGAGAATCAAAAGAGAGAGAGAGATAATAAACAGACTTGTGAAGGAAAAAGAAGAGTAATATGGATCTGACTGACAAATGGGAAAGAGTAAATCCATCTGCATCATCCATTGAGAACGAGGATTTTGAGCCATATCACCAATTGTCCCCAGCCGCCATTGGTTCTTACCATCATCCCGAGCACCCACCTGAAGCAGGCTGGAAGACTGCACCTCCCTCCCTACTACGTGGCTGGCTAGCTTAAACTAACCGCTGTGTATTTCATTGACTGATGAAGGCATGTTTTGGTTTGACGACCAAATGCTGCCTCTTCTGCAACCTGATCCATCCTATATCTTCGGCTAACATTGCCCGTTGTCGAGGCAGGCAGGCGATGACTAGGCTGGGCATGCGAGCAACATTTGTCCTAACCATCTCTCTCAATCCATGTAAGTGCTTCACAACCTGGTCGATTGGTTTTCCCTCCAACTCACCTAGCCCTCGACCGAAGCGTAACATCCTCAATATTACTCACTCTATAATGCCACTGTGGTGAGAGCAGGCTCCTAGCCAATTGGTAGACATTAATCTACGTCAATGTCTAGGTCACTAATATTGGCCGTGAGAAAATATGAACAAGGCTGATTCAACAACCAATCACATCAAGATTAAACGTGGGCAAATATGATTCGCAGATAGATAGCTCCACTTTCCGAGAAAACTCGAAAACAACCAATCAGAAGACTGCGTTTGTCTGCTTAACTTCTGAGAAACAACCAATCAAAAGACTGCGTTTGTCCACTTGAATAAGATATTATAATGTACATGATATATGTATAAATACGTGCTGATTTCCGTAATAAGATGATCTGTTGCCGGCCCTTGTCTTCTGTTGCTACACCACCACCTAATACAAATGGGAGATAGAACGCAGATCAAAGAGTATATCTTATGGTATATATATATATATATATAACACTGTATGTAGAGAGTATTTTGTTGATGAAGAGTTCTACCGAAATTTAATGATTTAATTAAATCCTGCTATTATTAACAACATTTGTTCCCTTTTTCAAATTCACATCAGAAAATAAGTGTTTACAATGTCTATTGGTTGTTGTTTACGTATAATGATGGTACAGTCCACTGAATTGTAAGCATTCGTCTTTCAACCAGCAAGTTATAAGTTCTTAATGTAGTGCTTCGTCTGCTGAAATGAGTGCAGCTAACTGGTAACATCAACTCTAACAATAATAATGATAACAGCTCTATTCTAAATAGTATTTTTATAAAATGTACAGAATTTTCAGCGAAGTTTATTGCTTGGTATTTTCTCTTCGTCCAGGATCTTCAAATAAGAGATTAATTGATTGACAGTAGATCGTATGACACTTGAACTACAAACCAATCCATAATGATGATATCTTTTCTTCGAGAAAGACACGATGACGTTTTGTTGAATGTCAATAATAAAAAGTTGAGGAGTACATTTTTAATAAACCAAGGACACCATTCAGGAAGGGTTATCTCATGTACTAGGGTAAACTGCCATCAAGAATAATACTTTCACTCATGTTTAGTAGAATAGACTGGCGAATCAGTAGGTTGTAAATGTTTTAAAAACTTGCCAGAGTGAACATTACTATTAGACGTCATAGTGTAACAACAGAAGACAAGGGCCAGGCAACAGATCGTTTATCAACACGTATTTATATATATTTCATGTGCATTATTATAGCTTATTCACGCAAACAAACAGTTTTCTGATTGGTTGTTTCTCACAGAGAGTTAACCTTGCATCTGTTTGTGGCTGTTTCTTGAATGTCAGATCATCTATAGGCTAATTGTATCCGCCTACGCAAAGCCTTTGTTCTCATTTTTTCACGACCAAAATTGGGGACGCAAACATTGACGTAAATTAGTGTCTACCGAATTTGGCTAGCAGCCAGCTGTCACCATAATAGTTTACGAGATTAAGACAAACTGAATAAGAGAAATTGTATACAATATATATATATATATATATATATATATATATATATATATATATATGGATTGTTTCGGTGGCTCAAGTTTTAAGCAGGCCCTCCTTGAAGAGGTGTGACTTTTATTAGCCACTTACATTAAGAGAGTTGTATATACTGTGTCGAATAATACTGACTATAATACAATCCGTTGGAAGTTTGCTTATTGTTCTGTCTACTTCATACAGAATATATGTGAACTCCTGACCTGAATAAGGTCAGACTTCTGTAGGGAAAAAAATGATGATGAACACTGTCTACCAAGTCATCAACTATTATTAAAATGTTTGACTTCCTGAAAAAGACTGAAGGACTGTTCAATCATTGTGAAAGGCGCACGCAAACGGTGTGCTTTAACAAAAAAAAATAATATTCTAGTTTACAGGATTTCATCATGAGCTGACATCGGCTAGAGAGAACCATTGGTAAACATGGGAGGAAAAACACTCACCGAAGACATTGGCTAGTCCCAGTTGCGCTATACGGTGTGTGAATTGTCAGAAGTTGGTATTGATGGAAAGGTCATTGAATCGGGTCTCAGTGGCTGGGTGAATGGTCTACGAGCTAGCTCGCCTAGATTCAAACCCTAGTAGTGGGGGATGGGTGTGTACTGCTGAGCTGAGGAGTTCCAAACTAGCCTGACGGAACAGTTAGCTTTCCAGTGCTCCAGTGGTGGTTTTCCAATGGTTCTCTAACTGATTTCAACTTATAATAAAATCCCATAACTAATCAAATCCTTGTAAACCAACACACAAATATCAATCTGATGCACATTAGCAACTGGCCCTATTCAAATCTTTGGCTTCTTGGGAAAAAGATTCAACGACACTTCAATCCTTGTGAAAAAAATATACAAAAGGTGTGTTAAAAAAAAAGAAGTAATGATCTAGTTCACAGGATTTCATCATGAGTTGACATCGGCTAGAGAGAACCATTGGAAAACCATCACTGGAGTACTGGACAACCAGCTGTTTCGCCAGCCTAGTTTGTGACTCTTCAGCAGTACGTGCCTTTCTCACTGCCTGGTGGTCGAACCCAGTGTCTTGTTGTTAATAGGCAAGCCTAACTCCTTGGTCATTTAACCAACCATTGGGCCGCGATCCAATGCATGACCCATGCATTCCAACTTCTCGCAGGTTTTCCAATAGTTCTCAAACTGATTTCAACTCATCATGAAATCCTCCTGTAAGCAATCAAATCATATCGCTACAGACCAACACTTGAGTGATTTAATTTTATCAATTAAGCCCTCATCAGGGTTTGTTAGTTGAGATAGTGTTTCATATGTTGTCGATTATATCTTTTCTTTTTTTTTCTAATTTAGATTTATGTACAATAATTCAAAGGGCAAATAATCTTTTCGAAATGATACAAACGTGGAATAGTATAGAGTTGAACAGAAGTCAATTAATACATATATTGACTATTCATTTTTATCTGGCTCATGAGTACTTGTCAGTAAGTAAAAACTATTAAATGTTATTTAATGCACTTATTATTATTATTATCAGTGGTTAGGACTCTCGCCGACCATGCACATGGTCCGGGGTTCGAGCCCACGCCGACGCACACCTTGATATCTATGGTCGGCTGGCGAAATTTGGGCTACCGATATCCACGCTGAAAATTCCATACTTGTACCAAAAATACAGTGTGGAATCAAGCTGTAATCAAAAATAAAAATAAAAAAATAATTATTCGTTTCTCATTGCTATTTATTGTAACGAGAAGAATTGTTTGGAAAATTTCAATATTATAGAAAATCAAGACAAGTGATGATTCAGTGAGAAGAGACTCTTTTCAATAACGAATTTATTATCAAGCTGTACAATCGTATTTATATATGGCGTTTTTTAAGAAGTTATATCTGGTGAGGGAATTGAATCATAGGTGCGAATGCATAAAATAATAATAGCTGTAGTAGTAGTATGACATGCAATTGAAAAATTAAAATGTTTGTGATTATACTCATAGTTAAATGTCAAATGGCAAAGCAAATTAATGTCATATATAGAATAATTCATAGGATGGATAGAAATTGAATGGGGTGCCCAGTTATCAATGTGCATTGATCCATTCACCTGCTCTTTTGCAGCTAGGTATATGATCGGTCGTTTGACTTAAATCTTGTCCCAGAGGATGCAAGAACACTCCTGCATAGAGGTTACGAAGAGGTAGAAGTGGAGCTATAATAAGCACGATCATTGAACATCTGGTTGATAATGATTACCCTGTCTCTCTCTCTCTCTCTTAACAGCCTCCGCCTTTAAAGTCATCTACAAGGCGGAAAGTAATTTGTCCCAAATCACCACGTATCTGACTCATCTGTATTGCTGAAGCAATCTTTGGAAATCGAAGCAGAAAAAGTCGGATCTCGTTCAACCCCTCCAATTTTCATGGTCTTAATCCTTCTATGCTAAAGTATGGTTATCCCTAATCAAAATTTAGATCTACCAATTTTTTTCATTTTGTCTACTCAATTTGTATACTTTTCCTTTATAACGTCAATTGTTACTATTACTATTCTCACTTTGAACTGTCCGTGGTATTATTATACTTGTTCCACTTGTCATTTTAAATCAATTCTGTAACATTAAATTCTATGTTATCAAATTTCACACAATATTGCGTGATGGTTTAATTTCTATTTTATTTGCCTACCAGTTGCACACCCCTTCCAAGTTCTATACATCCTATGAATTATTCTATATATGACACTGAATGTTTTGCCGCTTGACATTTAACTATGATTATAATCACAAACATTTTAGTTTTTTAATTGCATTTCATACTATTGTAACAACAGAAGACAAGGGCCAGGCTACAGATCGTTTATTAAGGAAATCAACACATATTTATAGATTTTCATGTACACTATTATAGATTATTGTTAGTAGACAAACACAGTCTCCTGATTGGTTGTTTCTCATTGAAAGTTAATCTTTCATCTCTTTGTGGGGCTGTCTTTTGAATGTCAGATCATCTCTCTGCAGATTCTATCCGCCTAAGCAAAGTCTGCTGTGATTACTTGTTGAGTCAGTCTTTGTTCTTGTTTTCACATGACTAATATTTGGGACATAAGCATTGACGTAAATTACTGTCTACCAATTTGGCTAGCTAGCAGCCAGCTCTCACCACACTACTACTACTACTGCTACTACTATTATTTTATACATTCATACCTATGATTCAATTTCCTCACTGGATATAACTTTTAAAAAAAAAGCGATGAATCACCACTTGTTTTGATTTTCTATATGCTACAATGGCAATTTTCCATGCATTCCACGCTAGATAAGTTTATTTTTAAATATCACACACAGTGATCATGAAGCAGTATTATTAACAACTGGATAACAAGTTTTCGAGCATTAATTGTTCGTCTACTTACGTACTTTACTTCGGCTATCTCCTACGGGAGGATGAGCCGGCTTCATGAACATCTCGAATCATCGCTGCCCAGGCGTGGCGATCTGATGCAAGGTTTTGCGACAGGGTTATCCAATTCTTGTTCCACAGACGGAGTCCATAGACGGTTTGTAGCCCCAGGCACTCCATATCTGCCTTGACTGTACCAAGCCATGTCTTCAGCTGTCCGCCCCTGCGACATCGCCAAGATGGAAATGGCGAGGGATTTAGAACTGATTTGACCAGATCGTCATCTGGTCGGCGCAGAACATGGCCAAACCACCGAAGGCGGCGTTGTTGGACCAGTACTGGAATTTGGTTGATGTTGTAGCAACGACGACGCACTTCTTCGTTGGAGAGTTTGTCCTGCCAACGAACATGCAGAATGTACCTGAGGCACCAATGGTCTAATACCTCGAGTCTGCGTAAATCTTCCGCGCGAAGAGGCCAGGTTTCACAACCATACAGGAGAACGGGTCGTATGGAAGCTTGGTAGACCCGAATTTTAGTCCTGAGACTGATTTCTCTCTTGCCCCATAGAACGCTCCTCAGCTGTAGAAACGCATTCCGGGCGTTGGAGATTCGCGCATTCACTTCGTTTTTCACTTGGCCGTTGGGGAGCATTATGGATCCCAGATATCTGAAGGATGGCACAATTTCAATAGGTGCTCCATTTAGGGATAAGATTTCATCATTGCTGGTGGATGTGTTCGAAAACATTTTGGTTTTGGAAGTGTTAATTTTCAAACCGATAGTAGGCGCGAGGTGATTTATCTGGTCGAGCGCCTGTTGCATATCGGGGAAGTTTTCAGCTAACAGCACGACGTCGTCGGCGAATTCGAGGTCGGTTATGTGAATATCGGGCGAAAGTTGGACGCCGTGGTGCTCGGTTAGGGCGTGCCGCAAAATCCAATCGATTGTGAAATTGAACAGGATGGGGGATGCTGGACAACCTTGCTGTTGTACCTACTGGTCACGACTTCTCACTAGAACCCCAGGTAATTGCCTGAATAGGGCCAGTCGCTAGTGAGCATTCGATTAATTTTCAAGTATTGGTTTGACTGGTTGGGGGGTTTTATCATGAGCTAACATCAAGTTAGAGAATCATTGGAAAACCAGCTGGGCGTACTGGACGGCTGTTTCGTTCTAGTTTGAGACTCTTCTTGATCCCAGTGACTTAAGAGTCTACGAGCTGGTTCGCCTTGGTAACAGAATGTCCTGGGTTGGATCTCTGGCAGTGGGATGGGTGCGTATCGACGAAGAGTCCCAAACTAGGCTGACGAAACAGCTGTCCACTACTCCCAGACGGTTTTCCAATGGTTATCTAACCGATGTTAGGTCATGATGAATTCCTTAAACCAATCAAAGAAAAATCCCTACAAAATTAATATGTGAAAATGTATTTCTACTAATTTAATCATTTTCCCTTATTACTGTTATTATTATTATCTCTAATGGAAATTCTTGTTCCTCTTCTTTTGTGTAGAAGTTTAAAATGAATCTAACGACATCGTGTATTAAAACGAAGACATTAACGACACAGAATTTAATCCGTCAAGCTTCTGCTATTCTCTTGTCTCTTTCCATTCATTTAATCAATTGGATTAGTTCAACTACTGAAGTGACTTCAGTAACTGCGTCATCTTCATCATCACCGTCATCAGGTGGTGATGATGAGTGCTCTTCAGATGCGTCGAATTTTATAAAAGGCGCCGACGCTGTTATTAATAACAGCAATGATAATAATAATAATAATAATGCTAGTGGTAAAGAAATCAATAATCCAGTTGATACAAACAATGAAAGTATCACTGGTGTATTGTCTTCTTCACCTTCCACTACTCCTCCATCTTGTGTGCTTCAAATTACTCCTCATCATCCTACTGATGTTCAACAGTCAAATATTCAATTATATAAAGAGGAGTCATTGATTGCATTGAATTTATTATTTCTATGGTTACGATCAACAATTGCTAGTAGTAGTGCTAATGCCGGTAAGTTTAATTAATCGATGGTGATGGTGGTGATTAATTGTGTAATGAGAAATTATTTTGTTATTATTGGATTTAAGTATTGTTTTGAAGGGGTTTGATTGATTGATCGGTTAGATAACCATAGGAAAACCATAACTGGAGTACTGGATAGCTGTTTCGTCCTAGCCTGGGACTCATCATCAGTACACGCCCACCCCACTTCCAGGATTCGAACGCAGGACCTTCTGGTTTCATGGCTAGCGAGCTCGTAGACCATTCAGCCACTCACTGGGACCTGATCCCATGTCCTACCCATGAAGTCTAACTTCTGCCAATTCACGACATAGCGCTACCACTAGCCAATGTCATGTTTGGTGAGCATTTGTCCTCACGCCCGACCTGCTGTACCCTACTGATTACGGCTTCCCACTAGAATCCCAGGTAACTACCTACCTGAATAGCGTCAGTCGCTAGTGAGCATCATATCAATTTTCAGGTATTGGTTTGTAAGGATTTGATTGATTGTTTACAGGATTTCCTTTACGTTCTCAGTGGAACATAGGGCTTCAAGCTAGAGACTTGAAGTTTCGATAGCAGTGGTGGTTCAACCTATTCTCCTTTACCAGCCTTATTACTGGCTTAGCGAGGTAAAGGAATGCATCCAGTGGCCGGGAATCGAACCCTGAACCACCTGTGGTGTGTGTTTGGCGCGTACTCTACCAATGCGCCACCGACGCCCCATAATCATAAATATACTGTCTTGACTAACTTTAGTCTCGATGGTGTTATCAGAAAATGGAGCTTATTTAGAAATACGTGAAGTGTGTGTGTGGGGTAGAAAGTTGACTATTGAGTATTGGAATGCTAGAGATGGCTGCCGGTTCGGAATATTTGTTTAGCACTAGGTTCTTGGTTAGTTTTTCTCCCACAGTTTCTTGTTACTAATTCTTTCTGGCCTGCAAGGCATTTAATCTTCAACATGAAGCCAGAGAATGGGACAGCTGTTGATAAAAGTGCAGTGAACTGTTGGTGGACACGCTCTTAATGAGGCGTTCATCTAGTTCTTGACCTATATAGAAGAAATGACTCACATAAAATTTGTGTTAAAGATCAGGATTCTATTCTTAATGCTGGCTGAGTGAGTGCAGCAGATTTCGAAACCCATTTCAGATTGATGAAGGTGTAGCTTGCGTTTCTGATTCTGGCTGGCTTTGACGTCTTCATTCGTTCCTTGATAAGCCTCCAAAGCCTCAGGGTGGTCGGGGGTGGGTGTCTTAGGCTGCGGGTTGGCCACCCCTCCGTACACCTCTTGAAATGCTCCAATATGACCGGGCGTCTTACATAGCCTATCCTGAGGAAGTCCTACTCACTGCCTTCACGTGGCGGAGGTGTTTTTCACCGAAGTGAGAGGGCAAAAGCCGATGCCCGGCGCTCTTCACCGGGTTGACTGTCCATTGGATGACAGTCTAGGGGAGATGGCTAAACCCTGATTCCAAACCTCCAACGACTGGCGTATGAAGCTCACTGTAGCTCACCGGCAGACGTATGGACAAAGGGCTTGTTGGATGTCCTGGATGTCTGGCCCCATTCAAAAAGGCGTATGAACCGAACTCCGGTCACCGGCTGCCAATGGATAGTGGACTCCTTACTCCACTCCTACTGCCTTGTAGGTCACACTTGGCTGTGTAAAGGCTAGAGCTGCACTCTCAAACAAAAGGCCGAGCGATGCTGGGGACATCAGTCGTACCCAATTCCCATGAAACTTCATGGTTCATGAAACCGGCTCATCCTCCCGTAGGAGATAGCCGAAGTAAAGTAAGTAAGTAAGTTCCTTGATAAATGAAGCAAGTGACGTCTTTCAATTTTCTCCCATTGAGATAGTGATTGGTTCTGGTTGTTGTTACTATTCGTGTTGTTAATCTTCATCACCTCCATCTTCTCTATGTCCACCTGTTATCCCTGCCTTCGCTGTGTACTACTTCTTCTGCCAGTTTGTTGGTTTTTACCTGCCTTTAAGCCTTCGAGTTTTTTCTGACATTAAATATAAATTATCCACGCGCGAAATCCAGATCTTCTACAGTATTTTTATCGATCCAGCGTATTCCTGTCTTCTCATTCCTCACAGTTTTCGGTATAATCTTTTTTCCATTCCTTCATGTTCCCAGTGGAACATAGGGCCAGCTTCAAGCTACAGGCTTGAAGTTTCGGTAGCAGTGGTGTTTATTTTTACGAGATGGGGTGGTAGCTAACCAGCCTTACGCCCAACTTTCCTTCTTTACCAGTCTTATTACTGGCTTAGCAAGGTGAATGAGTGCGTCGGCTGTGGGTCCAACCCCGGAGTACATGCGTGATCGGCGAACATTATACCGCTGTGCCACCACCGGTGCACAAAGCTTGTCTTGGAGGTATAAACGTTTGTCGGTATAATCTAGTCCACTACAATTAAGAAAATAATGGAACTTAGTGAACTAAACCTTCATTATTTAATCGCACGTCTACTTAATTATTAATGATCATGTTGTACTGCTTCATTGTGATTCATTCTTGTAATTTTTTTTATGTTCAAGTTAAATGATATCACTAATCAAACCACTCTACTTGAACTCTTGCAACCATTTAGAAGTTACTGACAGTCGTCATCTGAAGTGATGACATTCAAGTGGTGTCTTCCTAGTTTATGACTTTTCATCAGTATGCACTCGCCACCAGGAGTCGAATCCAGGACCTTCAAGTTACGAGGCGAGCTCTTAGACCAATAAGCCACTAGGGGGTACCTACTCAAAAGTCTATAAATTCTAACCTCAGCCAATTCACGCACACTTGATATCATGTATAACTACTTTCAAATTGTAAAATTATTTTTTTTGTTTTTGTGTACAATATGCAATGCTGTCATCCTTTATTTGCTTTTCTTTTTCTATTGTTTTTTCTTCTCCTAGGAATGGAATCATCCTTTACGCTAACTGATGGAATCTTTCAATGGATAACACCTGCATTCAATAAAAAAACAATCGATTATTTAAATCATTTACTTCATGTCTATAAAGATGTATTAACTTCTTTTACTGTAGAAAATGTTAACAAGAATGAACAGTATTCAACGGAGATATCCGTCTGTAATGATAATAATGAGAACAAGAACAACAGCAAAAACAACACCGTTAGTAGCGATAATGATAGTGATAGTGTACAATCGACTATTTCTGATGCTAATGCTGTAGACCATGAAGTCAATGGTGGTTTAAATATTTGTGATAACGATGATGATGATGATGGGAATGGGTATGCGGATGAGAATGGTGATGGTGATGACGTAACTGAACTATTTTCCAATCATCAAAAGGAGGATCTTGCTTTCTCTGTAAATTGGTCTCGTTTGATGAAAATTCCAGAAATTGTTATTCTACAAGTATGTGTTTTTACTTTCTACTGCTTAGTTTTTTGTACATCCCCCTGTTCATACCTCTTGAGACCCTTTTATTTGCTGGATTATAGTTGTGTGTTTGAATCTGACGTTGAAGAATTCATTAGGAAATTTTATTATGAAATATACAATGGAAGAAAGTTCAGTGAAGATTTTGAATTTAGCGAAAAGACGAGTATACAGTGAGTAGACTGATGAAAGCATTGAAAGGTCTGAACTTTGAAAATCTACAGGGGAAAATCAACAAGATTTCACCTTGAACTCACATGGGTTAAAGAACCATTGGAAAACCAACACCCGAGTACTGCCAGACAGCTGTTTCATCAGCCAGATTGGGAGTCTTCAATAATAAGCACTCACCGCACTGCCAGGGTTAGAACTCACCACCTTCTGGTTACAAGGTGAGCTATCTCGTAGACCATTCAGTCAACCACTTAGACCCGCCAATCTAATCGACAGTCTGTCCATGAATTTCAACTTGTGCGCGACTGGCACTGTCCAATGTCATCCCTAGCTTGCCTTGTATCTGGAAGGTCGTAGGTTCGAACCCTGGCGGTGGGGTGGATTCATGCTGTTGAAGAGTTTCAAACTAGGCTGACGAAACGACTGGCTGTTCAGTCGTCTCAGGTTTTTGTATAGTTGTCTAATGATTGTCAGCTCATGATGAAATCCTGTAGCCAATCAAATTTAATCTCAGCAAACCAACAAGCTGGATGAGTAAGCGGTGGCGTGCGAGGGTGATATGGATGATATTGTGTGTGGAATTGATGAAATCTTATAGACAGACATGTCATCGTCAGCTATAAAATACTCCAGAGAACAGGGCAGAATATTGGTGGTTTGTTGAAGCTCTTTGTCTCATTCGGAACCCAAGGGAGTAGTAATAATACTCGAAATCATCTTAACATTTATGAGTAAATAATTGGTATAATATACACATACTCAGGGATTACTCCACTGTCATACGTTTTCACATTATTTCCTAATTCGAAGGTTATCGTTGTTTTCTACCTTGGAATTTACTATTCTTGATAATCTTAGTGTATACTCTTCATTTTGAAGTTTACATTCATGGCGTATATTAAAACACTTTAGTGCGCTAGATTTGCTTAGTAGAGATGACGACACAGCAAGTCTATTTATTCAAAAGTTTAAACGCTCATTCTCAAGTGCTACAGTTTGATTCACAGATATTAAGCACGTGGTACTTCAATCAATGAGTCTCATTAACTCGTAATTCTCACAGTGTACTTCACAGTCTGGACGACCCATTATCATTAACCCTCACATTTTGAGTATAACGGATGGTGTAGTGTTTGGGATTTAGTTGTGTTCTCTTAGTTGGTTGGTTTAATTGCGAAGTTTTCGGTGTCCTTCTAGACAACATCACCAAGTTTCTAGAAGCTTGATACTCAAATGAATCAGAGATTAACATGCACATTATTACTATAGAGGAACGTTATCATCAAGCTCCACATCTGCCCACATACTTTGATGTACTCTTCGCCTCCATGTCAACCCAACCTCGAACTTACGATCAACGAGCTCTCCGATTCTCATTCGGGTTCCACTTGAGCAATGGCCTGGAGTGTGATTTCATTCACTTTATGTTTTGTTTTCTCAGAGTATGGCCAATGCACTTGGATTTCTTCCTGCATATTTGTTGCACAATTGGTTCCTGCTGGGTTGGTTCGCTCCCAGAGATCTCTGTTGCTGATCAACTCTGGTCGTCGATCTGATCTTGAGTAGTATAGCTGTTGATGAAGGTCTTTAGTTTGTTCGAAGTGCCCTTTGTGACGTGGTGCCAAGTCTCTGATCTATACAGTAAGTAGCACTGACTTCACATTGGAGTTGCAAATCTGGATCTTATTTTCATTGTTATGCTGAGCGCTGTTGACCTCCACACAGACACATACACACACACAGAGTAATGAAAGCTTGTCTTGCTTTTCCGATCCTTGCTTTGATATCCTCGTCAGTTCCATCCGCCTGTAGTTGAAACGATGCTTCCCAGACAGGTAGGTAAGTAAAGGAGGTTGCTTCTTTCAGATTTCTCCCATTTATGCTGACTGTTGTCTCTTGTTGTTGCTGTTGGTGTTGGCCAGGAATCTTTATCACCAGATCTGTTTTCTCTATGCTCACCTGAAGTTATATCTTATTTGGATGATTTTTGTGCCAACTTGTTGCTTTTCACTTGCATATCTTCCAGTTTGTGGGTTATCACACATATATCATCGGCAAAGTTTTATGTGTGAATCCATTTTACTCCTGTTTCCTCGCTTCCCGGCCTGCTGTCTGTCGCATTATCCAGTCTACCGCAATGTAGAAAATCATTGGAGATAGTAGGCAACCAGCCTTTTCTCTTCTTACCGTCTTTACTTCGGAGGATTCCGTGAGTTCCCTGTTGTGGATTACTTAGCACACAGCATTATCATACATCTGTTAGATGAAATGTATAATTGTCGGCGGCACACATAGTAGCGAAGTAGTTGCCAAATCACCTCTCGATCGACGCTGTGGAATGCTTTTTTAAAGTCGATGAAGTTGAGATAGAGAGCTAACTGTCATTTCAAGCCCTGTTAATTGATAATCCTCAGTGTTACAATTTAATCCATGCATGACTTGTTTCTCCAACCTGTTCCGGTTGAAGTCTGTCATCTGGGGCGTGTTTGATTCTCTTCAGGATGATGCGGCTTAGTATTTGGCTTGGGATGGACAGGAGCATAATGCCGCGCCAGTTCTTTTATTGACGTAAATTGCTGTCTACCATTTTTGGCTAGCAGACAGCTCTCGCCACAATCCACCTAAGCTTCAAATCTTCTGCATTAGTGTATAAATATGTGTTAGTCTTTAGGGTTGTGGCAAAACACTTAGTGCCACTGTTTAAAATGTAAGCGGAAAGTTGTGAATAGTTCTCACTCGTACTCCATTCTTTTCAACATAACCTATGGCGGTGCTACCTTGTCTAATCCCCGTCAATTGTGGTGGTGTGAAATCAATGGTTTTCAACAATTAACATATATATATATATATATATACACTGTGGATGACGTCCTATATATGCGTAAGTGGATGAGTACTAAAGTAGAACTCTCCCTCCCTCTAAGTGCCTTTCTTCTCACCAAATTATCACGTAGTCCAATTGTTTTACTTTATTAATTTTACTCTGTCGTCTAAAGTTTCTTAAGTCATATTCATTATTCTCTTCCATTATCTAACAGGGATTTAAGCCTCTTCATGTGCCAACACAACATCATCTATGCTGTTCATTAACAAATTACACTCCTGTACATTCATTTCCTTTTGATAATAATTTTTGTAATAAAAGCCTACGAGAGTTATCGACTGCTAACACTAACGCGGAGGAAATTCTGTCCAACCCACGGATCAGACAACATAATGTGTTGTTGTATGACAGTAAAACAGAACGTGTACTGTGTTTGTTAACCTCTGTTCGGTTAGTTTTCTTCTTTTTTTTTACTTGTTATTTGAAGTTTGTTTTAACTATATTATTATTATTATTATATTGTTCCCTTGCGTTCCCAGTGGAACATAGATCTTCAGCTGTCCTCTTTTGCTGGTTCCACGACTGCCCATAGTGCAGTCTCTCATCCTCTCCTACCTAAAATGACCTCCTCCATGTCACCCCTGAGTGACACTCCACTCATCATATCCTATTCAGATTCCATTCTAGCGATGGCACGATGTCATTCGACGGTCCCCTAAGTGGCGGGTGTCCGATCCATTTCCTTTGGGATATTTGTTTAGCAGTATGGGTTCTTGGTTAATTCGTTCTTAGGGTTTCTTGTTGCTAACTCTCTCTGGCCAGTCAGCCATTCGATTTTCAACATGGAGCCAGCGAACGGGACAGCTATTGAATAAAAGTCTACGGTGGCCTGTTGGCGGAAATGCTTTTTAGTGACGCACTGGCCAAGTCTCGAACCCATAGAAAAAAGTGACTGACTGACTGACCAGAGTGATGTTTGTCTGCCTTACCTTTGGTTTGGAAAACCTCAGTGCTGTCACCTATAGTTGAAACTATGCTAGCCGCGTAGATAAGTGAAGTAGAGTAACCTCTTACAAATCTATCCCTACAATAAAACACTTTTGAAGACTAACACTGTGTTTCTTACAGTAATATTGTAACCACAGAAGACAAGGGCCGGGCAACAGATCATTTATTGGGAAAATTATGTGCATTATTATTAGCATTATTGTTGTCGAAGAAGCAACCTCTTATGATTGGTCGTTTCCTTGCTTCACAGCATCCGGAGAATAGTGCTGCATCCCATTGTGTCTACCAATTCATATGTATGTGTGGACACAGGGAGGATCCGTCGGTCTGCACAGGTTACGATTACAGAACACATTCCAAAGTGGCTGTAGCAATAAATAAAATCGCCGGATAGATGTCCAGCATCATCTATAGTGACGCATATCATAGAGACGGGTCACAAGGTTGATTTCAATAATACCTTTAAGCCATATGTAGAAGACGGCTGGATCACATACTTCAGTTTGTTGAAGCCTTGGCCATAAAATGGCCTGAACCCATATTATATGTCTAGAAGTTGTCCGTTCTTACTTTGAACTTGCCTGAATAACCCAATTTAGAACCAAGGTTCAATTTACTTTATAATATTCTAACCCTCTTCCTTCGTCTTTTTTTCTTACCCCACACACTTACGTCATCCTCCTACCCATTATCTATGACCTTCGCCTGTGCATAATTTGACCTGTATTGTAATAGTTCATGCTCTCTTGCTTTTTCTATAACTGTGTATTTTTTGATTGGACACCAGTCAGTGACTTGCGTAATGTGTTTAGTCCTATCTTTGGTGCAGTCTGAATTCTATGTCGGCCGTACCCAGCGTTCGCTTTCCAAGCGTATCACCGAACACTTACCAACATGGTTTTACAAAGCGGAAAAACGATGTCCCCGCAGCTCCATCTTAGAACATCCGATAGATTCCGGACACCAAGCTACACCTCAAACAAACTTCAAAGTCATTAAACAGAGTAAGAAATAGTCTTCCTAAAGGTGTACGAATCAGACCTGTTCAAACTGCATAAGCAATGGCGATTCACTTGCTAAGTCCTGAACTTCGCATACAGAAGAAGTTCGTTCAATCACTACACTTGCAATGGACGTAATCTATCTTATTACCCGACTAGTAAATTCTACCTAATCTTTTTACTCTTCTGTCTCTTCATTAGTATTATTTTGTCTTCTTAATTGTAACATTTGCATTATTATTTATTTATTATTAATTATTTGCATTTTGAACTTTCTTGTTCTACACCTCACTACCACTGTTATTGACCTGACCAACACTCAATTTCTAGTCATTTATGTTACGTCATCCAACTTAACTGCTCAATTTCAGTTCTAATTTAAATAGCAGTGTTCTCTACCCCACTTCTACTTAGTCTCTACCTGTAATTACCTGTGTTGCTACCCTGACGTAAGTTGAAACATTTTAATCAATTATATTACGTCATCTAACTAACTAACCAACTCATTCTTACTTTAGTTGCTGTCTAATTAACCTTGTTTCTATATTAGATCATTCTTTTATTACCTGATCAATTATCTAAACTTGACAAACCTCCTGTACACACACAAAGAATAATTGTATATAAATGCGATTGTACAGCTATGTGAATGAATTCGCCGTCGAAAAGAGTTTCTCTTCGCTGAACGTCTTCTCTTTTTCATGTGAATCCTATCAGTCAACTTAACAATTTGGTCACCATGCCACTATTTAACTCGCCATATCGATGCACTGTGAATTGTTGATATTCGATGGTTGCAGGCAGTGAGCCACAGGAAGTTTCACCTGACCTAGATTTCGTGCTAGTTGGGACTCGTCATCAAGGTGTATCTGCTACAGCCTTGAAGGAACTCATATCCCTTCTGGTATTCGAACTGACTGGTACAATTCAGTCTGCACAAATAAAAGTACTAGATACATCACACCAGTTACTATCTAGTGTCCAATCAACAATATCTATGATAGTCCTACAGGGGATCAGTCGCAATCCCGAATCACTCAGTGGTAACGTATCTGACTGCAGCACCGGGTAGTGACGTAGGTTCAAGTCTCAGAAGGAGGGACATGAGTTTCTTCAAGGCGGTAGCTGATACGCCTTCCTCACTGACTGTCTGGTGAGTACCAACTAGTACGAAACTTAGGTCAGGTAAGGCTTCCTGTGGCCGATTACCTCCAGGCATCTAATACGTGGGAGTGTGCGATCAGAATGTCGGAAATGTGTTGCTCATATGCATTAAAAGTTTCAGATAAACGACGTCTGCTTATTGTTTTATCGAAATTCATAAAGGGAGCTAATTACATCTTTCATTTCTTTGTATATTTTTTTGCTATATTGGTTTGTTCGCAATCGCCTTTTTTTTCTAATGACCCGTCTACATTTCAATGATGACATGGTTTTATTTCTTGTATTCCAACTGCTTCCGGTGATCCTAGATGTATAGCTCATTACTTTCCATCTTTGATCAATTGGATTCCACACTCGAAAGATGAACCTCACAACGCTACAGAAGTTTCATATTTTCATGGTTTATTCGATTGTAACAACCGTAGCACTCCTAATCTAATGGATATTTTTGAAATACATCAAGCTGAAGACACCACGAGTAACAATAATGACGACGGCAGTAGTAATAATAGTAAGAACAGCCTAAACGATCAACTTGATGACGTCGTAGCATTATCACCCCAGAAACACTCTGAAGATCATCTTAACATTCAAGAATCTGATTCGAAATCTATCACCACTTCTGACAATGATGCTGCTGCTGTATGCATTAAAACTCCTCTTGGAAAATCGGATGCAGAATCTATTGAGAAGAATGATGTGGAAGGCGATGTTCCTGTTCTCCAAGTAAGTAGAATGATGAATTAAAAATCATTTAACCACTATTTATTTAAATGCAAACTTGTTACACATTATGAACACCAACCCCCCCCCCCAACCATTCAACTTTTTCAGAGATGGTGGTAAGACTTTAGCCAAGTAACTGACTGGATTGTTCCGCACAAAAGTATGGGAAAGTGTTGAATGAAGCCATTACCATTGTGTCCATCTCTAAATATGACCAACATAATACGTGTAACAATCATAGGAGGGTTAGGGCTTACGGCGAGTTGTCATCTGAAGTGGTGACGACTAGTGGTGTCCGTCAGGGATGCCCATTATCCCCATTTCTATTCAATTTCATCATATATGTACTAAAGGACTTAACCCTAACTTACTTCAAAGATTCAGGGATCGGCTTACTACCAGGGGATAATCTTGCTGACTTGTTGACCTTGAGCTGCAATCTTCGAATGTTTGGCATGCGATTCCCTCCCTCCAAATGTAAGATGATGTTACAGAACTGGACTACATTGACTCCTAGTTTAGAAATAGGGAGTGCAGTGGTAGAGCATGTTGACCACTTCACTTATTTGGGAAGTACCATCAGCCAGTGCCAACGAGTTGATCTCTGACGAAACCTCAGCACGGATACACTTTACGCCGTCTGTGGCGTAGACGTGATATCCAGCTTTCGACCAAAGGGCGGGTGTACTGCTCATCAGTCCACTCCGTCCTCCTTTATGGCTAACTGTGAGACCTGGCCACTGAGAGTGGAAGACATGAAAAGATTAGCTAGCTGTCTTTGATCATAGGTGCCTGCGCTCTATCTCCGGTGTGAGGTGGTATAATCAGGTGAGCAATATTGAGGTTAAACGTCGAGTGCTAGGTGAGTTGTAGGGGAAATCAATCGACGAGGCTGTGAAATTTCATCGACTGAGATAGTTAGGATATGTGTTACGCATGCACGCCTAGTCATCACCTTCCTCGACCGGCGGGCAATGTTAGCTGATATAGGGTCAGGCTGGAAAAGAGCTAGCGGCGGTCAAACCAAAACATGGCACCAGTCAACGAAATCTACAACGGTTAGTTGTACATGGTTCTACCTTCATTCACTAGTCCAGTCATGATTGCATATTGTTGTTATCTAGAGGGTTATGCTGTGGGAAACCGTTAACTCCTTGGCGTAACGCCTTTCGTCAAATATTATTCAGATTATCCTTGGAGTACTCACCAAACAGCTTCTTCTAGTTTAATTATATATATATATATATATATATATATATATATATATATATATATATATATGATGCGTCGGTGGCACAGTGGTAATTGCCCGCCAACCACGCCACAGGTGCTTCGGGGTTCGATCGCCGGCCTCCTTACCCTGGCTAAGCCAGAAATAAGACTGGTAAAGAGGGAATGTTGGGCATGGTGCTAGCAACGCCATCCCGTGAACATGAACACCACTTCTATCGAAACTTCAAGCCTCTAGCTTGAAGCCCTCTATGTCCCACATGGAACGGAAAGGAATATATATATTTATATATATTGCCTGCGTGACTGATAGAATTCAGTCTACGCTAAACATAGGACTAGATACATCACACTAGCTACTAATATCCAATCAGAGTATCCAATACAGTCCTATGGGAGGCCAAACGTGAACCCGAATAGCTCAATGGTAACGTCTCCGACTGTTGCGCTGTGGGTGACGCGGGTTCAAATTTTTGGAGAGACATGAGTTCCTGCAAGGCGGTAACAGATACACCTTGCTGATTGACTGACTCGGTGAGTGCCAACTAGCGCGAAACCTTAGTCAGTAGAGGCTTCCTGCTTTGATTGCTTCGAACTATCTAAGATCAATAATTCAAAGTGCACCGTGTTGACGAACCACCTAGTGTGATATGGTGGCCACATTGCCAGCGTGACTAATAGAATTCAGTCTGCACCAAACAAAGGACCAGACACAATATACTGGTTACTAGCTGGTATCCAGTCATATATATATGATGGGAAAAACTTTCAGTGTAAACTAATTGCTCTTTACTTCTTTATATATCCAAGGCTGGTCAACCTTCTGAATCGATTCCCTGTGATACTACTACTGCTACTACAACAACTACTACTTCGACTAGTGAATCATCAGCAGTTCCTGTCGACCAACAAGAACCAGTGGAAATAATTGCCTCCAATGAAAAAACTGAAAAATCCAGCTTACCAGTATCATCTACAGAAATATCAGTTTCAAAGGAGGATACTCCTGTAGTGTCAGTGTCACAACCATCTTTTTCTCCTTCACTAACGCCACATGTTGGCTCATCTGCTGGACTAATTATGAATGCTGAATTGGCTAAATTTATTCAAGAGCAAGCCATTCAGGTATGTTTCCTATTTATTGATTTATTTGTTTATTTATTTTGTTTGTCTTCCTATACATGCGTTTTATGATGTAAGAGTTTCGCCATACTATACAGCTGTGTCTTTCTTTATATAGAATCATTTGCATTTCTCTTATGATGATTCATAATTTATGTAATAATTATATTCTTTTACGAGTTGATCACGGATTGATATCAGTTAGAGAATCATTGAAAACCAGCCAGGGAGTACTGGACAGCTGTTTTATCCTGGTTAGTTTGGGAATTATCGGCAGTACGCACCCACTGGGGTTCTCGGGGGAATTCGTGACCGGTGAGGTCCATCCCGATGTCATATGTGAGGTTGGATGCCCCACCAACGACACTGGTTGCAGTCGCGCTAAATCACGAATTGGTAGAAGTTAGAATTAATAGGTTCGACACTGAAGTGTTGGGTCTCATTGGCTGAATGATATACAAGCTAGCTTGCCTTGTTACCGGAAGGTCATGGGTTAGAACCTTTGAGGTGGGTGCCTACTGCCGATGATTCCCAAACGAACCAGGATGAAACAGCTGTCCAGTACTCCCTGACTGGTTTCCAATGGTTCTCTAACTGATATCAATCCGTGATCAACTCGTAAAAACAGAAGTAACCCTTAAACCCAAACTATAGATAATAATTATATTCCAATGGGATGCATCGATGTGGTTCATTGGGTTAGAATCCTGACCAACCACTTACATCGTGCGCATCCGATTCTGAGCACGGATATACTCTCGTTTAACTGATAGTTAACCAGGTAAAAAGTGGGGGGTGGAGAGGTTGGGTGTGTTGGGCAAGTGACCCTTCCCCTCTTCCACCCACTCTGTAAAAACGTACTAATTAACACCGCTACTAAAAGTTTGAAAACTCAAGGCTGGCAGCCGCCCAGTCGGGACGTAAACGAATGAAACGAACGAAAAATATGCACTTCAACTGTTTTTAGTTTAAGTTACCATCAATTTCTCTGCTTTCAAAATCGAAAAGTGCGGGTGCGTGGGGTGGAGAGGAGAAGATAGAGAACAGAAACAACCTAATCAACAGTATTAGGTTATAAGTTCATATAACAGCTCAAGAAGGTTAAAGTTCATAAAAAAAACTGGAAACTTGCTCAATGAGTTGAAATCACTCACTAATATGGTTGACTAATCAAAAGGCAGTCACCAAGGTAGCAAGTGAGAGATTGATTATACTCTCTGTTTCTGTATCCATAAGTTTGGTTTGATACGTTTAATTATAACTGCTTCAGAAAACCGTAATAAATTTGCTGCCATTTGTATGGTTAGTAATTTGAAGGATTTGGTAATCCCGCCGAAATGTCCCATATTCACAAGGTATCTAATAGTCGAACTTGGAGAATATCTGCTTCGTTTTAGCCACATGTTTCTTGGGATATGCTTTGAAAACGGGATAGTAGCCCTTCTATCTTTCCTTTCAATGTACTTGTTCCCACACTCGCAAACACTGTTGGTAACTGCATATTGGTGATTACATTGATTAGTCATTCATATCGGTGAGTGATTTCAGCTCATTGAGCAAGTTTCCAATTTTATGAACTATAAGCTTCTTGAGTTGACATGTAAACCTACAATCTAACACTATTTATTATATTTAATTCAGTCTTAGATTTCCTCATCGATTGATTGGACCGAAGTGTTTGGTCTCAAGTTGACATGTCGGCTTCTTGTGCAAATGCTTCAACAATGTCTAGTGCTCATAGTTTCAAACGCCAAAGCGTTAACCACTAGACCACTTAGGCCGCGAAAGCCATCTCTTCTGCAACGGGTCATATTAACTATTTAATTCGATTTTAGATTTTCCCATCGACTGATTGGACCGAAGTACCTCGGTGGGAACATCACTACTCACTGCGGAATGCAGGTACATCCAGATGACGAGTCCCGAATAGGACAAAATGCCCTTTGTCCTGAATTCCACTGCTAGTCACCATCCACCAGTTAACTTCGAATTACATGCCCAGACATCGTCGAAGCATCTGCACAAGAAGAAGCCGACATGTCAACCTGAGTAGATCGAGCACTTCGGTGCAATCAATCTACAGGAAAATCGCAAATTGAATTAAATAATTAGGTTGTTGTTGTTGTTGTTTTCGTAGGGGTCTCAGTTAAATGTGACTTCTCTGTGTCTACGTCAGTGTGAGGAATACTCCCAAGTGGTCATTTGGCTACAGTGTCTCGACTCGAGGGCACACTATAATCAAGTTAGACAACAACCAACAAATCGCTAACACTCCATTACAACATATTTAGCGACTAGGGTATATTTAAGTCAGTGTTGTCGCAGCCCTGTAGTCAACCGATCACTTACTTGAAGTATTCCCCACACTGAGAGGTAGCCACACCGGAGTCAAATATAACTGAGACAAATACGACAACAACAACTTTATTAGTATTATTATTCACAATCCAGAGTAATTTATCAATTTACACACACACACATCAACGGAAATAGGTAAATCATAAATAATCAATATCTAATTGATTGCATCAGTCATAATTTTCTGGCTAACAATAACAGTTAGTCCATCCTAACAATGATTGTAGACTCTTCAGCTGTGCTGAGTTAGGTGAATACTGTACCTACCTACATAAAGTATTTGATTGATTGTCTTGGTCTTTCAAATGTCAGAAATAATTGATTTAGAATCTCAGATAATCTGATTGAATATTGATTACAATGGAGTAGTTGTGTTCGACTTTTCCTGCTCCCCACACCACCTGAACTATTCTCTTTTTATTTCTCAATAAGAGTGAATATATATTCACGTATGTTAACTTCTACGTGTGTCAAAACTTGATCTATATTTTCAATCGAATTGAAAGTGCGGTCTATATGTGTGTTGCATATGTCTATTAGGCAATAAATAAACAGCGTGTATCACATAAGTTTCAACTACATGCGGAACTGACGAGGACATCAAGGCGAGGATCGGGAAAGCAAGGCACGCTTTCATTTCTCTCAAGTCTGTGTGGAGATCAACAACACTACTCAGCTTGAAAATGAAAATAAGATCCGGATTTTTAACCTCAATGTGAAGTCAGTCAGTGCTAATTACTACACGGATCAGAGACTTGGCGCCACGCCGCGTCACAAAGGGCACTTCGAACAAACTACAGACCTTCATCAACAGCTGTCTTCACTCAATAATACTCTAGGAGCAAATCAATCCAACAGGAACCAATTATGCAAACAAATGTGCAGGAAGAAATGGAGGTGGATTGGAGTCCATACTCAAGGAAAACAAACAATCGAGTGACTTCACACGCAAGGTTCTCTCTCTCTCTCTCGAGTGGAACCGAATGGAAAGCGGCGAGTTAGTTGATCGTCAGTCCGAGGGTGATATGGATGTGTAGGTCATGTGAAGAGGAGATGAAAGCATGTGGGCAGACGTGTGGAGCCAGGTGATATCAAAGCGTTGGCGGAGAACTGAACGCAATGGAGATGCTGTGGCTGAAGCCCTATGTTCCTCTAGGTACTAAAGGGAACAATAATAATAATAATAATCACATAAGTTGTCATAAAAGACTATTTGTGTACGATTTCCCCAGAAGCTTAAACTTGTTTGTTAATATTGCTAACTGCCTTTTATTTTTGCTTTTTGTTTATTTTGTGTTCTGTTCGCTCGTGGAGTCATTAGGTGTGTCTGCTTTCTATCTCCCATGTGTGTGTGTGTGTTAGATGCTAAGCGATGAGTAATGCTGAGGAGGTTAGGCTTCGGTGGAGTGCTAGGTAAAGAGAAGGGAAGGTCAGTCGACGTGGTTGTGAAGTTACATCGATCGAGACAGATGGTTAGGAAATGTGTTGCGCATGCCTAGTATAGCCTAGTCATCGCCTGCCTTCTACGACAACAAGCAATGTTAGCTGCTGACATAGGATGGATCAGGTTGGAAAAGAGCAAGTACTTGGTGGTCAAACGAAAAAAAGATGGCTTCATCAGTCGGTGAAATGCACAACAGTTAGTTGAAGTCAGCCAGTCAGATACTTACGGAGGGAGGTGTAGACTACCACTGTGGTAGTCTAGCTGATATAGGTGCAGGTTGGAAAAGAGCCAGTGATGGCCAAACAAAAACATGGCCTCATCAATCCATGAAATCCTTGACAGTTAAACTGAGTCAGGTAGGGAGATGCAGACTTCCGGGTTGGGGCCCTCGCCTCGGGACTCTAGGAATCAATGGCTGGAGACAATAGGTGACATGGCTCAAAATCGTTGTCAATGGCCAGCGTAGACGCATTCAGTCTCTCTAATCTTTCATATTCCTTTCTACCATTACCCATTCTGTTTCACTCTTATACTTGTCAGACTGTATTGATTCTCTTCACTCATCTTCTTGTCTACCTCTGTGTACTATTTGGAACGTGGCAACTCGAACTGGTGCACTTCGATGCCAAGTTCTATGTTGAATCCAGACAGACAGACAGACAGACCAGTGTGGTTGGGCTGGATCCTCGGGGTGACAGTAAGAACAAACCAGTGACGGCGGCTGAAGAGAATTGGTGATAATATCGCTGGAAATTGTTAATTGTTGTCAATAACAGCGCAAATGCATTCACAATCTTTGTGATTGGCTAACTGACTGGTCTCAACATAAAACTTTGTACGGATGTGCAGCAGTTCGAGTTGCCACACTTCATTTAACACATAAAGCAAGAGAAGAAAGTAAAAAGCGATGTGAGGCGAAAAGTATAGTAATATGGAAGAACAATATAGTTTTATTGGGAGTCTACACCTTCCCACGTGACTGGCTGGCTTAAACTAACTGTTGTGGATCTCATTGACTGATGAGGAAGCCATGTTTTGTTTTCACCTCCACTGACTCTTTTCCAGCCTGATCCCATGTCAGCTAACACAACCCATTGTCGAGGAAGGCGACTAATGGCTAGGCGTATATAATACATGTCCTAACCATCTCAGTCGATGTAGCTGCTCCACAGCCTCGTCGATTGATTTCCGCCCCCCCCCCTTACCCAGCTGGCAATCAACCGATGCCTAAACTCATTATTGCTCACCTTATTATACCACTCCACACGGGAGGAAAGAATGTAGACAGACACTTTATGACCAAGGACAGCTAGCAGGTTGTGAATTTGTCAGTCATATCCAATGAAACTCTATTTTTCTTCCTTATTGCTATTCTTTTTCCCTGATTGACACTGGTGGTGTTCATTATCCTTTTTTTCTGGTGAATCTCTCCTTATTCTCTTCTGTTGCTTTGTGGGCTATATGGTGAAGGTGTGGCAACTCGAACTGCAGAAATAGAAACAACCTTTTCTATTGATAAACTTATGCAATGTGAAATCATGATTAGATGATGATATTGATCAACTTGACGATATAGTCCTCCTAGGCGACGACTCTGACAAAATGCAGAGTCTTCTAAACACCTTGAGCCGCAATCTACGAATGTTTGGCATGCGATTCGCTCCCGTCAAATGCAAGATGATGCTACAGGGCTGGACTACATCGACGCCTATTTTAAAAATAGGAAGTGGAGTGGTAGAGCACGTTGACCGCTTCACTTATTTGGGAAGTACCATCAGCCAGTGCCAACGGGTTGGTCTCTGACGAAATCTCAGCACGAATACAGGGGGATCGTTTCGCATCTGCCAGTTTACGCCGACTCTGGCGTAGACGAGATGTTCGACTATCGACCAAAGGGCGTGTATACTGCTCATCAGTCCGCTCCGTCCTCCTTTATGGCTGTGAGACCTGGCCATTGAGAGTGGAAGACATGAAAAGACTAGCTGTCTTTGATCATAGGTGCCTGCGCTCTATTTCCCGTGTAAAGTGGCATAATAAGATGAGCAATATTGAGGTTAGGCGTCGAGTTCTAGGTAAACAGGGGAAATCAATCGACGAAGTCGTGAAGTTGCATAGACTGAGATGGTAAGGACATGTGTTACGTATGCCTACTCATCGCCTTCCTCGATGAGCAATGTTAGCTGATATAGGGTCAGGCTGTAAAAAAGCTAGCGGCGGTCAAACAAAAACATGGCCTCACCAGTCAATGAAATCCACAACAATTACTCTAAGCCACATAGGAAGGTGTAGACTTCCAGGCTGGGGTCCTCGGGACGGTAAAAACCAATGAAGGTTGGAAACAATTGGTGACATGGCTCAAAATCGTTCTCAATGGCCGGCGCAGATGCATCCACTCCCTGTAACTTATGATTTCCAATGAAACTGTTTTGTTCTTCGTTATTACTCCTTTGTCTCACACCTCTGTTTACTGTCTCTATTATGCTTTCCTTGTACTTTCTTCTCTTGCTTCGTGTGCTACACGGAGTGTGGCGACATGAACTTCCGCACATTTGTGCAAAGTTCTATGTCGAAAACAGACAGAGAGATTGATCAACTTGAATTCTATTTTTGGTACATGGATGATACATTTTTGATAATGGAAAATGAGAAGGAAGCAAAGAACATCCGGGGGATAAATTTAACGAGTTTCATCCTGCAATAAATTTTACTATTGAGAAAGAAAAAGACTCTAGTATTTCATTTCTAGATGTCCTTATGGCCAGAAAAGAGGATGGCACAATCAGAAGAAGTGTATATTAGGAAACCTACATCAACTGACTGTCAGTATACTCATCGATTCAGCTTTGTGCCCTTAAAATGCAAACGCAATCTGATAAAGTGCTCAGTCCGGCAAAGAGCAAGAGAGTAATCTGTTCGGATGAGTGTCTTGATAAAGAACTGAATAATATTAAACGGTTACTGAGTGAAAATTGTTATTCAGAAAAGTTTATTGATAAGAATATGAATCTAAAATCAAGGCAGCCCAAGGTACCAACAGTTACTAAAAAGGCCTTTTATTCTTACAAATTCAGTTCCTCGGTGATGATAACATCAGCGAGGTACTAACGCCAACGCCTTAGGAATGCGGTGAAAAGAGCATTCCTTGCCGCTGAATTACGCTGTGTCTTCAAAACCACCCAGCCTATTTTGCGTTCGGGAGTAAAGGATAGACTGCCTGATTTCGCCTCTTCTATGTGTATTTGCCAATTTAACTGCTCCTGTGGATTGAGCCAGTTAGTTACATAGGCCGTACAAAATTGGGCGTGTTTCTCGTCGGATTTCCGAAAACCATTCTGCATAGTGGTTAAGCAAGGGAAAAACAAAATCCATTCATAGCGCTATTTTTATTTCATCTTGTGGATACAGAACACGAGGCCGCTTTCAAAGTCATTTACCGCATACCAACAAATCTTAATTTCGCCTTTAGGAGTTCGACTGCTAAATATGACTGAGGCTGGCTGTTGGGATCCACCTTAATTAAGAAGCCTAATTTATTTGTCCAAAAAAAAAGAAGTTAGTTCAGACATATTATCTTTACCTTGGCCACCTAGGTTTGAATGATCCTGAATTTTGGTGGAATTTTCCTTAATTTTAGTTGATATCTTTATTATGATTATTATTTATGCATCTTTAATGAACTGTAAATTGCATTGTGATCTTACTTAACAAATCGATATAATTTAAAATTATTTAAAAAACGCAAATATTATTATTGACGACTGTTCTAGAATATTCTATGAATATAATAAACATATATATATATATATGTTCCTACGAGTTGATCACGGATTGATATCAGCTAAAGAACCATTGAAAATCAGGGATTACTGGAGAGTTGTTTCATCAGCCTAGTTTGGGAATCATCGGCAGTACGCACCCACCACCACCACCACAGTTCGAACCCAGGACCACCTGGTTACAAGACAAGCTAGCTCGTATACCATTCAACCACTGGAACTCGATTCAATGACCAGTCCATAAATTCTAACTTCTACCAATTCGTGATTTAGAGCGACCCTAACCATTTTCGTAGGTAGGACATCCATCCTCATACGTGACATCTGGATGGACATCACTGGTCACGAACCCCAATGGGTGCGTACTGCTGATGATGATTCCCAAATTAGGCTGATGAAACAACTGTCTGTCCGGCAGTATACTCCTTGTGGCTGGTTTTGCAATGGTCCTCTAACCTGTGATATCAATCCGGGATCAACTCGTAAAAACATATCTAACCCTTACAAACTAAACTATAGAAAAAAATATATATATGTGATTGTTTGTAGAGCCAGAAGAGGAAATTATCGAAAAGAAGTATTCTTTGCTCAGTTAAATTTGTGTTTTGTACATGTCTGAATGTCTGAATATTTTCGCTATATTGAAATCAAACTTTTATTTTTGTTTCTCTTATTTCGTTTTCAGGTGGCAGCTAGACAACAAAAATTGAATCTGTGCAATAGTTTATTGATTAACAATAATGGTGATAATAATAATAATAACGATAATCAACAGATTAATTCTACTCATGATACATATTTAAAAACTGCCTTAATCTCTACTAAAACATTGATCAATAATAATAATGGTAATACAGAGAGTAATTTATCAAAATTAAGTTTAAGTGATTCCTTTAAACGTGATCTACCGCCAAGATTTGCTAGACTTTTACAAGAGAGAAAAGAAGCTATTGAAAAACAAAAAAATGAAACACAAAGACAGGTAACCTTTTGTGTTTTTTTTTTGGGGGGGGGGTTCAGTCGATTGGTATGTATTCTTATTCTTTATTCCTTTTTTTCCCGGTTACTCCTTGTTAGGATTCCATCACACCCTCTCTAGGCACTACTAAGCAAGCTGTGAATTTAGGCGCATTATTGACATTCAAATTGTGGGTGTCGTCAATTTATTGGCGGCTGGAAGTTGATTCACTCAAGATGACTCATAAACTTAACTTCTATCAGTCCCAACGTCTCCATTGCGTTCGGTTCTCTGTCAACGCTTTCACCTGACCCCTATTTTCATCTCCTCTTCCATATATATCACCCTCGAACAGACGACCAACTAACTCGCCGCTTCCCATATTGAGCGAAGACAGCTACCTGTTGATGAAAGTCTGTAGTTAGTTCGAAGTTCCCTCCGTGATATGGAGCATAGTCTCTGATCCGCATAGTAAATAGCACTGAGTTCATATTGGAGTTGAAAATCCGGATCTTGTTTTTCGTGCTGGGTGCTGTTGACCTCCACACAGGCTTGATTGATTGATTTGATAAGAGTGCTCAGCTTCATGTCGACTTGTCGGTGCCTTGTGCAAATGCTTCGACGATATCTGATTATTTAACCTGAAGTAATTTGAACCCTGGTGGATGTGTATTGCTGAAGAGTCCCGAACTGGGCCAACGAAACAGCTGATCGTTCAGTACTCCCAGTTGGTTTTCCAATTGTTCTCTCACTGATGTCAGTGATCATGATGAATGAAATCCTCCTTCCAATCAAAAGTTGAGTTTCTTTATCTTTACTCTTCCATCTTTCCAGTTGGGATCAACGTGTTGTCTTGAGGAGGTCACCTCTTTCTATTCACTTATTTAAACAGCTGACGGCAGATGATGAGGATGTCAAAGCCGCCAGTATTAGAAAACCAAAGACAGACCTTCATCATTCTGAAATAAATCATGAAGCTGCAGCAAGCAACTCTGGCTCTGGTAACCAACCAACCAACCAACCAAGAACTGGTCGCTGAACCACCGTTTGACGACGAGTTGGACGGTTGATCTGAGGGTGACATGGATATGAGGTTGTGTTGTGAGAGAAGTCGATGAAAGCTTAGGACAATCGTGGTGTCGGCTATTATAAAAAAAATACTGCAAAGAACGACGGGGTGAAATGCCACTGGTCTACTGAAACCTTAAGTTCCACTCAAAGCTCAAGGAAATAGCCAATAGTGATGGCTTAAAACTATGAAGTTAAAGTATCACGACCTAGGAGTACGAACGCTATAAATGACCTTGAATGCATGCTTGTCGTTAGATAACGAGATCTGTCATTATTATTATTACTATAGTGCCAATATGAAATCTATTCTCACTAATTAAGCAGGAAATTTCACCCAGATCACGTTTGTCAGTATACTGTTTGGACAATGGACTGATAGCGTGTAGGCGCAAATGTTCTTATGGTGCTTTCATCTACCTGCAGTGGTGTTCAGAAGCTGGTGATAGACATGCATATTTAGGTGTACACAATATAGGAAGCGAATGATTGTTCGTAATGGTAAGTTACACACTCAAGCTCAATATTTTCTAGGAACTTTTTTTTACTGAATCGACTGCATACAAGACCTGAATGTATCTAACAAAATTATGTGCTGTCCTTCGACATTGAGTCATTTTTCACCAATGTCCCACTCACGGAAATGGTCTGCTTTATATGCAAATATATAGATGAGAACCATCTCAATTTTGGAATACCAACAATATATTTGAAGGAATTACTACTGAGATGCACTCTGAATGTCTAGTTCACTTTCAGTGACACCATCTATAGACATAAAGATGGTATTCCATTGCGATCTCCATTGGGTCCACTACTATCAAACTGCTTTGGGCAAGCCTCAAGTAAGGTTCACTAAAGCCGAGCACTAACAATTTACGACAGTATATAAGATACGTAGACGACATATTCATTATTCATGACAACAATAATGACCCCCAATCTACTTCTGAAGACATTTAACTATTGCCATTCAGCAATAAAATTCACTCTTGAAATGTAAAACGAATCAAAAATTCCGTTTCTTGATGTGCAACTACTAAAAAGAAGAACTGATGGGAGCCTAAAAACATCGATCCACAGAAAAGCTACTTGGAATGGTCAACTAACAAGCTTCTATATATGAGTACCCATTCAACAAAAGTGGGATTTAATTAAATCACTTGCCACCCACATCCGACACATCTGTAGTTTCGATGTTCTAGAGACAGTTAGATATTCTGAGAGAAATCTTCATCCGAAATGGATACCCAATTGGATTCATTGACAAAAATATCAAACCAAGAATTTGGAGAAATGAAACTTCACCTGCGCCTAAAAAGAAACTCTACATGAACTTGGATTTCAAGGGAGATTTAGCAAGCGATATTCTTAAGAGAAGGATCACCTCATCTCTGAGAAGAACATTCTTTGCAACAACGCTAAGAATAGTGTTCTCCAGTCGCCCAGTGATCTGCAGAAGTCTCAAGGACAAGATCCCGCATCTGACCACTTCTATGTGCATATATCAATCCACCTGCTGCTGTAGAGCCAACCAGGTACATCGGTCGTTCGACGCCCACGCTGTCCAAGAGGATTCAACAACACTATCCAGCATGCATATATTTATGATACTGAACTTCAGAAGCGGGGGGTTAATGGCGATTATTCCAGATCGTAGTGCCGTTACCTTTCTACTAATTATTCGAAGGATAGTTATCCGTGGCACTGCAATTCATGCTGACGAATGGGCAAGATATAACTGCTTATCAGATTTGGAATATATCCATTGTTAAATTAATCACTCCATAACTGGCACTCATACCAATTCAGTCGAGGGCTTTTAGGGTAGATTGAAATATAGGATAAGATTAATAAACGCCTTGCAAAATGAACTTGTTTCCAGTGTCCTTGATGAGTATATGTATAGAAATTGGTTTCAACTTAGGAACTGAAACTCCTCATTATAACTAGGACGTGTTTATTTAAGTCGTATCAGAGAAAAATACCCTTTTTAATGAGTTTTCTTGTAAATAAACGTCATTTTGTGAGTGTGTGTGTGTGCAAAAATCACTTCTTTTCTATGATTGGTAGGCTGAAGGTCAGTCGTGCGTTCGTTGCATCCCATGGATCGTGATACTTTAGCTTTGATGTATTTTTGATACAGTGTAGAGCTCTCAGTATGCTACTATTTGTGAGGTGGTACAATCACTTTTGTTGGATAAATTACGCAAAGGCCTTCGATAGTGTCGATCGAGAGGTGATTTGGAAACTACTTCGCTGCTTACGGGGTGCTACCAACATTTGTACGATAATGCTTCATGCCAAGTAATCCACAACGGGAAACTCACGGAATCCTTCGAAGAAGTGAAGACAAGAGTAAGGCAAGACTGGCTGCCTATTGTCTCCAATGATTTTCCTGACTGCTGTAGGCTGGATAATGAGACAGACAGCGGGCCGGGCAGTCAGGAAACAGGCATAAAATGGATCCACACAAAAAAACCTGGGGGATCTGAACTTCGCTGATGACAAATGTCTGATTTCCCACAAACTGGAATATATGCAAGTGAAAAGCAACAAGTTGGCAGAAGAAGCATCAACGATAGGACTTTGGGTGAACATAGAGAAAACAGATGTAGGTGATAAAGATTCCTGGTCAACAGCAACAACAATCAGCACAAATGAGAGGAATCTGAAGGAAGCACCCTCCTTTTACCTACCTACCTGGGAAACATCGTTTCAACTACACGTGGACAGAACTGATGATGATATCAAAGCGAGGATCGGGAAAGCAAGAGAAGCTTTCATTTCTCTCAGGTCTGTGTGGAGGTCAACAGCATTCAGCGTCAAAAATAAGATCCGGATTTTCAACTCCAATGTAAAGTCAGTGCTACTCTACGGATCAGAGATTTAGCGCGTCATGAAGGACACTTCGAAAAAAACTACAGACCTTCATCAACAGCTGTCTTCGTTCACTACTGCTCAAGATCAGATGGCCGGCCAGAGTCGATCAGCAACAGGGATCTCTGGGGATGAACCACTAATCCAGCAGGAACCAATTGTGCATCAAATACGCAGGAAGAAATGGAGGTGGATGGGCCATACTGCGAGAAAACAAACCATCAAGTAACATCACACGCCAGGCTCTCTCTGTCTCCCGATTGGGAAGCAGTGCGTTAATTGGTCGTCAGTCCGAGAGTGACATGGTGGAGGTGGTAACGTGAAGAGGAGATGAAAACATATGGGCAGACGTGGAGCCATGTGAAAGCGTTGCCGGAGAACCGTACGCAATGGAGAAGTTTTGGCTGAAGCCCTATGTTCTTCCAGGAATTAAATGAATGATAATAATAATAATAAACCAACTCAATTAATCAATTAGTTGTCATAATTGTTTCACATAGCTTACGTTTATTATTGATATACCATCACTACACTCATTGTTTTTAGCTAAAATCACTACTAACACCAATTGACCAACCTGCTCCTTTGGCACGCAAAGAATCAGAAGCACTTACAGATTTATTTTCTTTATTATCTTCATCCGATGTGCGAGCTCCTGTACATCCTGAATTGAATGTATCACCACAACACTTGCTGCATCCTTCAAATTCAATGGACCCAAGTATTCATAATCCTTCGGTAAGGTTTTTTCATGTGTTTACTTAGCCTATTTTATTTCTCTTATGTTTCAAAGTACTCATCGTATTTAATGCCAAATAGATTAAGTAGGACTTTGAAATAGGACACTAATCAGTAACTGTGACTAATGTGGCGTTAGCGTCTCCAAATGCAGTACATGTAGGTGACGCTGGTTCGTATCTCAGAAGGAAAGGTCATGAGTTCCCTCAAGGTTGACTAATAGGCCTTGCTCACAGGTGGTGGTTACAACAAGCACGGAATCTAGGTCAAATCAGTTAGAGAACTTTTGGAAAGCTAGCTGGAAGTACTGAACAACCAACTGTTTCGCCAGCCTAGTTTGGGACTCTTCAACAGCACGCACCCACCACACTGAGGTTCGAACCCAGAACCTTTTGGTTACAAGGCGAGCTAGCTCGTAGACCATTTACCCACTGGAACCCGATCCAAGGGCCGCCGCATGTATTCCAACTTCCGCCATTTCGTGACATAGGTTGACCACTTCGCAATCTCTTCATCGATGAGTTACTGCCTCACCTTCACCCTGCTGTACCCAGTTACCCTGTACTGGTCAAGGCTTCCCACTAGAAACTAGCTGAATAGAGCCAGTCGTTAGTGAGCATTAGATTAGTTTTCAAGTAACGGTCTTGCAGGGACTTTGTTTGATTGGTTGGAGGATGTCATCATGAGTGGATATATACCACCATGCATATTTTCCGGAGTCACATTTCGAAACGTTATCCAACCCAACTACTGCTCCAGGATAGAAGTAATGTGTTCTCGTGTCTCATAACTATTCATGAAATGCTTTTATGGAGGACTTAGAGGATGATGACTTTGCGAAGTGCCACGCGCCACAATGCCAGCATGGTGATGGTGGGGTCTTCTTTGCAGTAATTTGAGAAGTTGGACGATTTTGTGTAGATTTCCGCGGAACATTAGGAGGAGGTGGGTCAGGACTGGATGATGAAGAGAGATTTTCGCTCTTTCGTAATGCACGAATATCAGAGCTTCTCGAAGTTGTTGATTCGACCAGGTGTGTCTTTCTGCAAATTAATCAGTCGTTGATATTCATCAGCTATGTCATGTAATGTTAACTTGGGATTTTGCTCTAGCTGATTGAGCAGTCGAGTTCGGATCTCTGTGAAACGAGGAGATTGGAGACTGCATATGAAGATCAAGGCTTTGAATTGATCATCTGTTAAGGACCTGAGTCGAAATCTCTCACATTCTCGGTTGACTGTGCCAACATGAGTAAGAAAATCATCATTTTCATTCATTGTCAGCTTGAGGCAACGATAACGTATGCTGAATAATGAGGAGTGGTCTCCAAAATGTTCACGCAGCAGCTTTATTGTATCATCGAAACACTTGTCACGTGGTTTTTGGGGTAAAATTAGGATGCAGTACCTCTCATATTCTGCGGAACACAATTTACGTAATAACACGCGCACCTTCGAAGCATCGTCTTGTGAGGCGAGATCAACTGTGAATAAGTCCTCATATCGTTGATACCATGTGTCAAAAGTGACATTCGCATCTGGATTATAATTGAACTGTGAAATACTATTCACAATGCCGTCGACAGATGGTAGCATGGTATGCTTCAGATTGCTTGAAGGTGAAGTTGGACCAGTCTGTTGGTTGACGAACATTTCCATTAATTTCATTTGTTGTTCAAATAGTAATACCAATTTAGAAGGATCCATAGTTTTTCCCGTCGCCAAATTATTGTTATGTACTGGTCGAGAATTTAATACTCCTGACGCAAGAAAGACGGAAATCAGAAGACCACTAGGTTTTCGATGATACTTCTATTTTCCAAACACAAGGAGAATCAATGTCACACAAGTGTGTGAGAGCAAAAAATATAAGAATGTCCGAACAAGTGTGTGAACGAATATTCAAAATGAACAAATCAATAGACAGTCTTAACATGATTGGCTTATTATAATGGAATATCGATCCATATATACATAGCAAAATATATCAGACTGTCAAACAAACACACAATTTATATGGATACATATCAGTGACATTAACGCATAAATTTGCCTCATAGATTTAATCCCCCCTCCCAACAACCACCATAGTTTTTGACCTTAAATTTGGTCGACAAAGCAGCACAGCTGCGTGATTATTAATGATGATGGTGACTCAAACGCATCTACCTATGTACACCATTCTGCGCTTTAGGCTACTGAAGCCCATGTGCAGAAGGCTTTTGGATTCCAGGGCTCTCCGACACTCCTCTAGGTGAACCCCCTCCATTCCTACCAAGTCTACAGTGTGCATGAGACATTTGCACTGTACCGCTTCAATTTTTGAAAAGTCCTCCTGTCGGGTAAAGACAGAGATTGGGACATACCTGACAGAGAATTTGAATGCTTGGTTACAGGTAAAGCATTCTCAGGGAAGGAGGTGGGGGTGAGACTTGAATCAATTTATTTTTGGTCTCGCCATTCGCATGTTTGTATACTTGACCACTAGTCAAATCTATCAAGTGTGCTGACTTTACCAATACAACGAGAATGTCAAATGTCGTCTGGAATCTTTCACGAAAGTCCTGATAGACTTGTAAGGTATGAGAAAAACCAAACTATTCCCAAATATAACAATTTAGAACAATTATTTTCTCTTATGAATTTAGACGAAGTAATGCGTATGCGTAATTTGTCTGAATCGTGTATTGTGTATTTGCGCGCACAACACATTTCGAATAATCTGATCACACTCCATGGACTTGACAAAGGGAGGAATATATATGAAATGAGGAAATAGGCTTGACTCACTGACTGGTTTCAACATAGAACTTTGCACCGATGTGCAGCAATTCGAGTTGCCACACATCACTTAGGTCAAGTTAAAAGGACATATTGAAGGTCAAAATAACAATGACAATCAATCACTAAACCAAATAAGAGAGGTAATAGTTGATCTTCCCTGACTGGTACCAAAAAAAAGTTTACTAAGGAAGGAAAGTTTAGTTAGTGTGATGACAATTTGTTTCTTTGAACGCTTAAAAAGCTGGTTTAAACTTCCTAATTGCCAGGTAGGGCTTTCACAAACTTTAGGATGCTCCCTACCCCCAAACACGTTTTATAGATAGGTTTAAGAGATGTATGGAAACGTCAATTTTATGCCTTGTCTCCTGTATAATATATTTCGCGATAGAGAAGCTAAGTCTTCTGCTTTCATCATTAATGGGTTGTGAAGATTCTATTTGCTTCTGGAGCCATTTAGGGAAGTGTTGATAAAACTTGTTCACCACTAACTGTAATTATAGGGGAGGGGGGGATAAAAAACATTCATTTATTTATTTGTTTACTTATTTATTTGTTTGTTTCTTTGTTTGTTTATTTATTCATTCCTTATATCAATCTAATTTGCTGGTCTTATTGTATTTTATTCAATCCCCGTTTTGCATTCAGCTAGACTATCCGTCTTCCATACCTCAGTCGATGCTAATGCCTCCTAATGTAATAAGACCTTCCGGTATACCGTATTCCTCTGCTCCTCCAGACTTCTTCTATGGACCGCCTGTTGTTACCGCCAGTGCTGCTCCAGGATTGGCTAATTTCCCACCACCACCAATACCACCGCCACTAACACCTATGAATATGGAACCGTATTTCTCGACAGACTACTCGTCAATCCCATTTACTCAACACCATCCATCATTGAGTATGCATCCGTCCGCATTATATCACAGTAATCCTACAGATTCTCTAATGATGAATAATTGGCCTACAGATGTATATATGCCTTCTGAAACAGAAATGAATTATCATCATCAGCAGCAGCATTTTTACAACCCATGTGTTACATCACAGCATTTATCATCTTTCCCTGTAAATAGTAACATGTTCCCCGCTTCAAATCATCAAGTTACCAATACTACTACTACCACTGCTGGTATCAGTAGTAGTAGTAGTATACCTTATCATCAGTCTTTTGAATTGAATGATTATACCTCTTCAATTGATCTTCCAATTGGTACTTTCGACAATCAGATGAGTTATGCATCAAATCCCATTGATGACGTCAGCATCATTAGCAAAAACAACAGTGGCGGCGGCGGCAGTAATAATCAATTGCCTTCAGACGAACAGGTGTATCATATACCACTAGATGAAGATGCCTCTATACACTTTTAAACAATTCCCACTTTACTATTGAGAAGAGCAACTTGTGTTTTGGAGTAGAGTGTGTGTGTGGTTTGTATACCAAAAAGGCCAATTGTCACAAAGAAATAGCCACACGAAAAAAATCAATAAATCAATCAATAAATAAATAAGAGGCGCACAGTTCTCCCACTATCTCAATCCTAATGCTTAATTCTGTTATTTTGGTGTATGGATGGAAGATTATTGCCTTCATTGTAAGCAAAAAAAATAATAAACCAAACAAGTCAACCAACCAACCAAAAAGTGATATCGATTGAAAAATTCCAAACAGTGCTCACACACACATTCAGTCCTGAATGAAGATTGCCTATTCTATCTATACTATTGCATGTCTGCACTAATTGGTGGCGTTGTATGTATGTGTAGAGTTCGTTACACATTGATGGTTTATAATAATGACAAGTTAGATTTGTGTATACTTTTTTTATCTATGTGCCTATTGAATAAAATTCTTACATTAAAGAATTTCTTCTCGTTCATGAATAATCCTCATCCAGGTATTAATGAAAGCAGAAACACGTAGTGTTCAGCGATGAGTCTCTTTTCGGTGGCGAATTCATTTCCATAGCTGTACAATCGTATATATGCATGGGTTATTTTGTATGTATGTGAACATTAAGTCTGTCGAACAAAATTACAATTGGTTATGGTTATTTTAACTAAAAAGGTGAAGATTGGTAATTAGAGCTACGTAATTAGGCGTTAATGAAATTAGGGCAGTAACAAAGGTAATATAATATGAGTAGTTTGATGATCGAGTTTTACTCAGAATACACGTAGCAACAAAGTAGAGAATAAAAAAATTACGTAAGAGTTCTAAATGAATACAAGAATTATAGTCAGTTAAAGAAACGGGCGAACAAGTAAAATTAAGTCGTCAAAAATCAACAAAGTTGTTACCATGACAGTAGAAATGGTTGAGTAATTCTCTTTTTTGTATGCACAGCTCCGGTTTTTCTATGTGAATGACCAGAGCATCAGCCATACAAAGACGAAACCGTATTGCCTTCGGTAGGTTATTCCTGTCCCTGTGGATTACTTTGAAGCAGGAGGCGTTTGTTGAAATCGAATGATCAGTGTTAACCACGTGTCCAATTATCCAACTTCTTATTGCACCACTATTGCCTTTTCGTAACCATGCGGGATAGTGTGGGCGTCGAACGACCGATGTACCTGGCTGGCTCCACAGCAGCAGGTGGATTGATATATGCACATAGAAGTGGTCAGATGCGGGATCTTGTCCTTGAGACCTCTGCAGATCACTGGGCGACTGGAGAACACTATTCTTAGCGTTGCTGCAAAGAATGTTCTTCTCAGAGATGAGGTGATCCTTCTCTTGAGAATATTGCTTGTTAAATCTCCCTTGAAATCCAAGTTCATGTAGAGTTTCTTTTTAGGCGCAGGTGAAGTTTCATTTCTCCAAATTCTTGGTTTGATATTTTTGTCAATGAATCCAATTGGGTATCCATTTCGGATGAAGATTTCTCTCAGAATATCTAACTCTGTCTCTAGAACATCGAAACTACAGATGTGGGTGGCAAGTGATTTAATTAAATTCCGCTTTTGTTGAATGGCTACCCAGCTATAGAAGCTTGTTAGTTGACCATTCCAAGTAGCTTTTCTGTGGATCGATCTTTTAAGGCTCCCATCAGTTCTTCTTTTTAGTAGTTGCACATCAAGAAACGGAATTTTTGATTCATTTTCCATTTCAAGAGTGAATTTTATTGCTGGATGGCAATAGTTAAATGTCTTCAGCCTACTATTGCATATCTGCACTAATTGGTAGCGTTGTATGTGTAGAGTTCGCTACTTTGATGGTCAGATTTGTGTATACTTTTTTTAATGTTCCTATTGAATGAAATTTTGCATTAAATTAGTTGTTTTTTTCTCCTGGTGTACGTACATATTTTCGTCCGTGGTAATTTTATAATTCTTGAATGACGTTACATCATTTGCTACTTTTTTTATCAGAAAATGTTGCGCGATAATCTGTGCAATGTGGAATGGCATTTAAAGGAGGCGTTAGGTTCAAAAAATTTTCATGAAATGCAAGAATATATTTTCGCGTCGGTATTCTACAATGGTAGAATGGTCGCCGCCAACCACACCATAGGTGGTCTGGGGTTTGATCCCCGGCCACTGGACGCGCACTCCTTTACATCGCTCGCTAAGCCAATAAAAAGACTGGTATACAAAGAGGGAAGGTTGGCTAGGCATGAGGCTGGCTAGCACTCGCATCGCGTAAAAATAAACACCACTATTACTACCGAAACTTTAAGCCTCTCTAGCTTGAAGTCCTATGCTCCTTCCACTGGGAAGGCAAAGGAATAAAAAATATTTATTTTGGGCTATTTATTAAAACAATACATATAAGCGCATAATATTGTTGTTTTCAATTAGATCTTCCTCAGACTTCACTCTAACTTACAAACATTTATGTATATGTATATCTATATATATATATATATATATATATATATATATATATATATATATATATATAACCAATGACGGTGATTTTGTGGATCAAATAATAATAATATGTTTATTTTATTTATTTTTGATTACAACTTGATTCCACACTGTATTTTTGGTAGAAGTGTCGAATTTTCAGCGTGGATATCCGTAACCCAAAATTCGCAGGCCGACCACAGATATCAGGGGTGTGCGTCGGCATGGGCTCGAACCCCAGACCATGTGCATGGTCGGCGAGAGTCCTAACCACTGTGGTGAATGTTTTGAACCTCAGTAATAATAATAATAAGGTTTTGTTTTGAATCCGCATTTTACACGTAGCCGAAGGTATGGGAATTAATTCGAGAGGACACTCCTAGTGTCTTTGTGTTATGTTCTAGTTTTCCCCGTCGCCAAATTGTTATGTACTCGTCGCTGAATTATTGTTATGGACTGGTCGAGAAACTAATAGTCCTGACGCGAGAAGGCGCAAATCAGAAGACCACTAGTTTTGCGATGATACTTCTATTGTCCAAACACAAGGAGACGAAAAATAAATGGTCTCACACCAAAGTGGTAAGCAAGTCAAGTAGTTGTAAAGTAAAGTAGTTCACACAGATTGTGAATGCGAATATATATAAATGTTCCAGACAAGCGTGGGAAAAATCATTAGACAGTCTTAACATGAATGGCTAATTATAATGGAGTGTCGATCCAATTATACATAGCGAATATAGCAGACATGCCAACAAACATATATGGATATATGTCACCAAGCAACGGACTGTCAACAAACACTCATATTATATATAATATAATATAGGGAGAATACACATTATTAAAGGAGACAAGTCCATACAAGTGAAGTGGTCACAGACTAACCGAGCAAACAGAAAGAGAGACCAACATGCACACACACACACATAAATATATATATGTGGATACATATCACTTTGCATACAACAAAAGAAGTTTGTTCTACACTTTTGTCTCTCCCTGGCCTGTCTAGGTAAATTCTAATTCAAAATACCTCTCTACCATTTCTTATATTCCAGTTCCTTCGTACTTTGATACTATTTATCAGTTCAAACGCTGATTATCTGTCCACTTTACCTACCTTGAATATTATGTAACTTTTCAGATTTGACCTATTTTATTTATTTGCTGAATTGTCTACATATGCACATATTACTGGCATGACTAAAAGCGGCATTCAAATCCACAAAATCAATTAGAAACAAGCTTTCTCGGCTAAAGGATCTGTCCTGTGGAGCCAATTCAACAAAAAATTCAGTATATCTTATACCCTGCAATGATTGTTAGGTTAAATACGTAGGTCAAACTAGTAGAACAGGGGCAGTCAGACTAGCCGAGCATAAAAACCTAGCCAAATATAGATTATTTTCAAGTATTGGTTTTTGTAGGGATTTTGTTTGATTGCATGGAGGATTTAATCATGAGCTTACATCAGTTAGAGAACCACTGGAAAACCTGGGAGTACTGGACAGCTGTTTCGTCCAAGTTTGGGACTCTTCGGCAGTACGCACCCACCGGGATTCGAACCCAGGACCTTCTGGTTACAAGGCGAGCTCGTAGACCATTGAGCCACTGGGACCCGATCCAATGGTCCTTGAATTCTAACTTCTGCCAGGTCGAAGATGAGGCAGTAACTCATCGAAGAAGACATTGCGAAGTGGTCGCGCTATGTCGTGAACTGGCAGAAGTTAGAATTCATGCACCATTGGATCGGGTCCCAGTGGCTCAATGGTCTACGAGCTCGCCTTGTAACCAGAAGGTCCTGGGTTCGAATCCCGGTGGGTGCGTACTGCTGAGGAGTCCCAAACTAGGACGAAACGGCTGTCCAGTACTCCCAGGTTTTCCAGTGGTTCTCTAACTGATGTCAGCTCATGATTAAATCCTCCATGCAATCAAACATAGATTAGTTGACCCGAATAAGATAAAAAATCTAGAGAATAGTTTAGCTATAGCACTACATGCAGTTACACACAACCATATAATAGGATGGGATAGGATGATAGTTCTAAAATCGAATTTAATGTTACAGAGTAGAGGGAGAGATTGATAACAAAAGCTTTTTTTATCAAATCAACTGCAAATACATGTAATAGGAATGATTCAACACCTGTTCCAGTTATCTGGAAAATTCTACTGCTCCTACGACAAATATGAGAAGACAAAGAAAACTATAAAACTCAAGTTCCGAAGTCGTGTGATTACAATTGATATCATTATGAACAAAAAATTTTGTTCGAAACCTTGTCATCCATTATATAATACTGTTTCACTGTGTGATACATTTAATAAACAAACTAATATGGAATTACTTACTACCACAGTGCTCGAGTTTACATATATTGCGTATGCATCCTCCAGTATTGGTCACTGACAGCCATGAGAACGCAGCTCCACTGCCTTTCGCATTAGACATCAAATCAAAGGTTCTTGCGAGGGTGGGTGGGACAGTCGTTTAGGACAACCACCACCTGCTTCGGTCTGGGTGCCCTGGCAGTAGAGTATCTCAGTCTTCATACAATCAATGAAATGAAACAAGGAACTACCAGTAAAATTAATCTATACAATTTGCTGCTAATGACTAACTTCGGTTGAACAGAACGGAGGTAGATTACTTCCAACTGTTACTGATATGCCACCACCCTTAAGAACTGCCGAGTAATAGAGTGCAATATGCGATAAGTGATAACATTCAAATACTTAGGATATTACAGCAACACGACATTCGTTATTCACACGTTGTTATCCAAATTTGTCAATGGGACCAACTGTTTGCCTGTCTGTCTTCTACAAAGAATTTTGCACCGATATGTAGCAGTTCAAGTCACCACACTCCATGTAGCACACAAAGCAAGAGAAGACATGCAAAATAGTGGTAGTTAGCAGGGACATGAGACAAAAAGAATGGTAACGTCGAAGAACAATATAGCTTCATTGGGTATTATAAGTCACAAGGAGTGGATGCATCTGTGCTATTGAGAACGATTTTGAGCTAGCCATATCACCAATTGTCTCGAGCCATTGGTCTCCACCATCCCGATGACCCCAACCGGTCAGGAAGTCTACACCTTCCTACGTGGTTTAAACTAACTGTGGTGGATTTCACTGAGTAGTGATAAAGCCATGTTTTGATTTGACCACCATGTACTAGGTCTTTTCCAGCCTGACCCTATGTCAGCTAACATTGCCCGTTGTCGTGGAAGGCGATGGCTGGGTTAGACATACGTAACACATGTCCTAACCGTCCCAGTCGATGCAGCTGCTACACAACCCCGTCGATTGATTTTCTCTCCTTACCTAGAACTCGATGCCTAATCTCACCTTATTATACCACTTCACACGGGAGATAGAACGCAGACACCTATAATCAAAAACAGCTAGCGTTTTCATGTCCTCCACTCTTTATAGCAATGTCTCACACCTGTTAAAGGAGGACGGAGTGGACTGATGAGCAGCATACCCGTCCTTTGGTTGACAGTCAACCGCATATCACGTCTACGCCAGAGACGGCATAAACTGGTATATGCGAAACTAGCCCTCTATGTATCCGTGCTGAGATTTCGTTACCGATCAACCCGTTGGGATCAGCTGTTGTTTGTTTCTTAAATGTTTGAAAAAAAAACAAATAAGAATTGTCATCATCATCTTAAAAGAGTTATTACTGACTATGACCATTTGGACGGATACAAACATTCACCGCCAGAAATCAATACATAACCAGACAATAAAAATACATTAACAGTGTAAGATATCGTGATGGACAAAACCAAACAAAAATCATCACACAGGATAGGCAATAGCAATAATAATTAATATCATTATCATAACGGGTATTGCAGCGGGTACACGTTAGAAACAAGGCGAAGAAACCAACTTAGGTTGATGAACACCAAAATTGCAATATATATATATATATATAAATCATAAAATAAAATATCTGACAGACATGAAGAGAACCAGATGATATAATAATGGAAACAAGAAAGATTGTCAACGATACAAATGAAAATTAGTGAGTTTCCGTGTGTGTGTATGTGTGAGGCCGGTCGGGGCGGCGGCGGGGGGCGGGGGTTAGCGGTGAGGTTGAATACGGAGGAGTATAAATGGCATCTGCAACTGCAAATTTAATAACACTGAGAGAGGGAGAGAGACAGAGATAGATAGAACATAGCACAAATATTACATAGTTGCACATAGATACACACATATTTACAAATAACGCGTGTGACCCCTGTAATAAACAACACCAAGTAAGTGTACTGAGAGCCCTCCCCCCCCCGCCTACGAACGTCGAGAAAAAAATGTAATGAATTGTGAGAAAGTGTAGAAGTGGGCAAAACGACATTCTTTTTCAAGGGGAAGGGAGAGAGAGAGAGAGAGAAGGAAAAAAAAAGGATAAACTTAAAATATGAAGAATTACTTATAAATATACAAAAAAAATGCAGATCAAAATCAGTTTTTTTTCTTTTCTTTGTTTGATAAACTTGGTTATATCAAAGCGCATGTATATATAAAAATATATATATATATTTAAGAGATATATAGATATATATTCACTTATCATCAGCCGTTTCATTGCCATCACCACCGTTGTCACCTTCATCTTCTGATTCTGTTGGTGTATCTAATCCAAGAGGATCTTTTCCAATCATTTCATGTGGATTATACGTGTAGCCTTTGTCGCCGGCTGCTGCTTCATCATCATCCTCTGATGATGATGATAATGATGATCGATTAGATGAGGCAGTCGGTGTCGGTGTTAAATCTGGTGAACTTGTGATCGCCTTCCTCTGCTTATTATTAATACTCTCAGTATCCGTATCTGTATGGGTGATACGATGTTGCGGTGTTAAATTCGACTCTTCATCTGACAATTGGTGTACACTATTAGTATTATTACTATCCTCCTCATCGATTATTAAGCGTTGTTTTTTATTTACTGAAGAATCAGGAGCTGGTGGTGGATTGCTGTCATCATCATCTTTTGATGAGGGTTCATAGGGGGTGTTGGGTGTTTTAACACTATCAGATTCATCTGTAGTAATAGTAATAGTTTGATTACCACTACGATTACCACTAACTGGTGTTTTATTATTTTGACGTTTTCCACTACTAGTACTCATAAGTAATGGTGAATCTGGATTGAACAGTGTTGTTGCAGAGGTAGAATGTCGAAGATTTAAAATTCCAGACGGAGTATTACCACCGCGACGACGTTTATCACCTTGACGAAGAGAGACATTCTCCTTTTGTAATTGACGTATTGTTGCCTGAAAGAAATAATAATCATAAAAAGTAAAGTGTTAAATTTGTAGGGATTTGATTGATTGGTGACAGGATTTCATCATGAGCTGACATTAGTCAGAGAACCACTGGAAAACCTGCAGGGAGTACTGGACAGCCAGCTGTTTCGTCAAGCTAGTTTTGGACTCTTCAGCAGTACGCACCCGCTGGGATCCGAACCCAGGACCTTCTGGTTACAAGGCGAGTGAGCTCGTATACCATTAAGACACTGGGACCCGATCCAATGGCACATGAATTCTAACTTCTGCCAATTCACGATATAGCGCGATCCCTAGCCAATGTCATCGGCGAGTATTTTTCCTCACACCCGACCTGCTGCACATGTTTGTTATATGGAAAACAAAACGTTTGTCAAAAACCACTTGATACTAACTGGTTGTCAAATCCTCAGCAGCTGGAGCATACTTTGAAACTGTGATCCACTTATAATTGAAGGTCTAGTGCGCCTAGACCAATGGAGCCACACGATCTATGATGATAAGATGATGACTAGACGCATCACACTAGTTACTAGTGTCAAATCAAAATATCCACTACAGTCCTACAGGAGGTCAATCGCGGGCCCGAATAGCTCAGTGTTAACGTCTCTGACCGCAGCACTGGGTGACACGGGTTCGAATCTCAGAAGGGACAAGAGTTCCTTTAAGGTTGCAGATACGCCTTCCTTGCCGACTGTCTGGTGAGTGCCAACTAGCACGAAACCTAGGTCCAAGGCTTCCTGCCGACTGCCTCCAACCATCTAATGATAAGAATCCGCCTTAAAAATAGTAATCATCTGATTTGAGGATATTAGATGGTTGGAGGCAATCAGCCACAGGACACGCCTCACCTGACCAAGGTTTCGTGCTAGTTAGCACTCGTCACCTCCATCCATCTAATATTATCAAAAACCAACGTACACCGCGTGATGGCAAGCTACCCAGAATGATGGCCACTTTGCAAACCTGACTGAAAGAATTCAGTCTGCACCAAAAGAAGGACTAGACACAGCCTACTAGTTACTAGTGTCCAATCATAGTAATCATCTCTTAAGTCATCTTGTGACTGGATGGCTGTTAAATTTTATCACCTTCTTATTGGTCAGTTCGCCAACCAATCAGAACAATCCATTTCCACTGCTAGTTTTAATGTGCTTTTACCCAATAAAACAATCGTATCCTAACAGTTACAGGCTAGTCTTTGTCTTTTCATATTTTGGGTGGCTTGCTTGATGAAATGGAAGGTAGCACCACCGCCACGGATGACTAGGTGTATCTAGCATTATCAGTTGATTTGCTCACTTCATCAGTATTATCATTATTACTATTATATCTACATTTGTACATGTATTTGTCTAGAACCTTAAACAGTCTGTCAGTTGTTATGTTTCAGTCTGTCGGAACTGAATTATCTCACCATTCAAATCAATAAAAAAACGTTGTTTCTTTCTTGTTGTTAAGGCTGCCGGCTTCTTTAATTTTATTAATAACGGGAGAAAGTCGTGTGAGTTGCTAGTGCCATCATAGTTACAACAATCGACTATCGAAAAGCCATAAAAAGTGTTTTGAAAAAATCGAGTTTTCGAAAGATGGATAGAGGTAATCTTGGGAAAGTTCGGGAAGAAATAAATACTACATTTAGTGGGGTATGCAGGGAGCTTTATAGTAATATCACATGATTATTATTGCCGAGGTAGATGGAACATACTTTTTTCAAAGCATAAACACACATTCATCACAATAATGAGTAGTACAAAACAAGTAGTTTAAACGAAGAGACTGTTTTCCGTGAATTCATTTTCTTCTTAAGCTGTACAATTGTACGTCAGCGGCACAGCAGTAGAATGCTCGCCAACCACGCGACACGTCGTTCGGGGTTCGACTATCGCCCATTGGATGCACTCCTTTACTTCACGAAACCAGTAATAGGACTCATATAAATAGGGAAGGTTGGGCATGAGACTAGCTATCGGTCAGGAATAAAGTGAATACATTAATGGATGAGTCGTAATCACAATGTACACAGAAACGATGAAATTTTTGAATTTTCGGAGGTCAAACAAAAACTTGTCACCAGTCAATGAAATCCACAACAGTTGGTCTAAGCCACGTAGGAAGGTGTAGACTTCCTGACTGGTTGGGGTCCTCGGGACGGTAAAAATCTATGGTTGGAAACAATTGGTGACATGGCTCAAAATCGTTCTCAGTGGCACAGATGTATTCACTCCTTGTGATTTATGATTTCCAATGAAACTTTTTGTTCTTCGTTATTACTCCTCCTTTGTCTCACACCTCTGCTCACTGTCTCTATTATTCTTTTCTTGTACTTTCTTCTCTTACTTCGCGTACTACGCGGAGTGTGGCGACTTGAACTTCCGCACATTTGTGCAAAGTTCTATGTCGAAAACAGACAGACAGACACAGAAACGAAGAGAAATGTGATATTATGCAAGGCACTGAAAGAAGCACGAGTTGTCAAAGAGGGTTAAGACAGGATATACGCATCAAACGATCAATTTACCTGGCTTCATAGGAACCGGTAAACGCGAGATCTTTTGCTTCAGGTTTTTACAGACCAGTGGATGACTGGAGAACACTACTCCTAGCGTCACTGCGAAAATTCTTCTCTTAAGGATATTGTAGGTTAAGTCTCCATTGAAATCACGGTTCATGTAAAGGTTTACTTTCTGGTTCAAATAAGATTTTGCTTCTCGGAGCCTTTGAAACTCGATGAATATTGATTTTGCATGGAAATTTCTTCCAGAAAGTTTGGGTCTTCTTCTAGAGCATCAGGGCTACAGATACGTGGAATTTGATTGGCAAGGTGTTTCATCAAATTTAGTTTCCGTTAGACAGGCATCCAACCATAGAAAATTGTCAGTTAACCATTTCATGTGAACTTTCTATGGACGCGCCTTCTCGGAGTTCCGTAGGACCTTCACATGGAGAAAGGGGATTTTGCATTCGTTTTCCATTTCAAAAGTGAATTTTATGGCTGGATGGAAGTTGTTAAGTACCTACACAACTGGCTGATGTCATAATTTATTCTCGCAAATGATGGAAATGTCACCCACGTACCTTGTATATTGAGTTGATGAACGCTTCTCAAGGCTTGCCATGAGTCTGTTAGTGATGGACCCAAGTGAGATCCTGTGGCCTGGTTTACTAGTCACTATTGTAGCCTCGGAAAAGATGGACGCTGGAGCGTGAGACTAGGCAACCGTACCTCTTAAAAACAACACGACTACTGAAACTTTGAGACCTGAAGTCTGACTGACTTGAGTTGTTTCAACTTAGAACTTTGCACAGATGTGTAGCACACAAAGCAAGAGAAGAGAGTAAACAGAGATTTATCAAAAGCGAGATAATTAACAAAAGTCTGAGTCAGGGAAAAAGAATAGCAATAAGGAAGATCAATAGAGTTTCATTGGATATGATAAATCACAAGAAGTGGATGCATCTTCGCCAATGACAGAGACATGGCATTGCCATAGGATCACCATTGGCTCCCTTTGTTGGCTGATTGTTTTATGGCAAAGCTGGAAAATTCTCAACTTTGTCAAACCGTTGATCATTTCGACATTTATAAAAGATCCATGGACGACACTTTCGTAATCGCCGATAATAATAACGTAATTCTTGATGATGTCTTGCTTACTTTCAACAACTGCCATCCTTCTTTACAATTCACCATAGAAAAGGAATCTCAACTAAGTATTATCCCGTTTCTTGATGTGTGTGTGTGCCTTAGCAGACGTAATGACAGATCTCTCAAAAGATCTATTAACCGGAAACGTACATGGAACGGACAACTAACTAATTTTTACAGTCGGGTGCCTATTTCCAGGAAAAGGAACTTAATTCATTCACCTTGCTTTAGGATAAGGAAAATTTGTAGTTCTGATTACGTTGACTCAGAAATTGACTTCCTAAATGCTACGCTCGCAGAAAACAGTTACCCTAACCAAATTATTGACAGCAACATGAAGGATAAGCAGTCTAAACTGGTCACCGACTTCGTCCCAAAGAAAACCTTATTCATCAACTTGCAATTCAAAGGTGATCAAGCTTCAGATATGCTCAAAAATCGTCTCTCTAAATCAGTCAGTAAGACGTTCTTTGCAGCAAAATTACAAATGATGTTCACCAACCGCAACTTGTTCTCCATCTCTGTAAAGGACAAACTCTCCCGTCTGGTCGCCTTCATGGGTATCTATCAGTTCATCCGCCTTTTTGGAGCAAGGTATATTGGCGTTAGTCAGAGGACGCTTTCTACACACGGATACGAGAACGTATTCCGGCAAGTTTTTACAAAGGAAAAAGGAAGTGTGTGTGCGAAGCTCTATTCTGGAACACCTGATCGACTTCTGTCACTCAATCAACCAGATCAGATATTAGAATTCATGCTAACTTCTCGCATTTTCTTCGTTACAGACTTCTAAAGACAGCTGAGGTCTTGAGTATCCATTCATAAATTTAAGCCAGCCAGACCTTTTTGTACAAAAGAAGTATGCACAATCTCTACCTCCGCCTTGGACGTAGAGGAATAGGCATTTATTTTTTTGTTTATTTAGTTATTCCATGTACTTTTCCCTCATTACTTTGACTATTATTATTATTACTATTCTCACTCTAAATCTTTCCCACTTGACATTTTAAACCCAAAATTATTAATTATTGAAAAAGTCCCATGTGTTACACTGAGAATCCAGGGAACCGTACCTCGCAAAAACAACACGACTACTGGAAATTTGAGACCTGGAGTCTGACTAACTGACTGACTGTCTGGTTTTAACGTAGAACTTTGCACAGATGTGTAGCACACAAAGTAATATGGAAGATCAATAGATTTTTATTAAATATGATAAATCACAAGGAGTCTGTCTGGATTCAACATAGAACTTGGCACCGAAGTGCAGCAGTTCGAGTTGCCACGTTCCAAATAGCACACAGAGGTAGACAAGAAGATGAGTGAAGAGAATTAATAGAGTTTGACAAATATAAGAGTGAAACAGAATGGGTAATGGTAAAAAGGAATAAGAAAGATTACAGAGATAAATACATCTGCGCTATAGACAACTTTTTTGAGCCATGTCACCTTTTGTCTCCCCCTATTTTTTCCTAGACCCCCGGGGCCCCCCCCCGGGGAGTCTGCATCCCCCCCCCTCACTCTTTTTATCTGTAAAGTTTTTCATGTATTGACCCCATTTTTTTTTTTGCCCCCCACTGTCTTTTTTCCACCCAAAACATATATCAGAAAAAAACCCGCGGGGGGGGGGGGGGGGTTGGGATGCGCGCCCCGCGACCCATCCCCCTTTTTGTATGTAAATTTTTAAACCCGTCGATTTTTTTTCCCTCTTTTCCCCACACTCTCCGCCCAAAGCCAAAATTTCTTTTCTTTTTAAAACCACCTAACGTGAGACAGAGATCGCAGACATTTATGATCGAAAGCAGTCAACCTTTTCATTTCTTCAACGCGTATTGGCCATGTTTCAGAGCCATAGAGAAGGAGGGAGCGAACTGATGAGCAGTACACCCGTCCCTTGGTTGATAACCGGATGTCACGCCTACGCCAGAGTTGGTGTAAGTCAGCGAAAGCAGCTCGAGTTTTTCGGATCCGTGCTGAGTTTTCATCGCCAATCAGTCCGTTGGTGCTAATACAACTTCCCAAGTAGGTGAAGTGGTCAACTTTTTCTATCCCTTCCCTCCCTATCACTAAGTTAGGGGTTGACGTCGTCCAGTCCTGTAGCAGCATTTTACATTTTGCAGGGGCGAATCGCATGCCAAACATACGAAGATTGCTGCTCAAGGTGTTCAGAAGACTCTGCATTTTTTCAGCATCCTCCCCTAACAGGACTATGTCATCTGCATATTCTAAGTCCATTAGATTATTCCCTGGTAACAAGTCGATTCCTAAGTCACTACGTTCAGTTAAGGATACTTCCATTAGCATATTTATGATGAAGTTAAAAAGAAAAGGGGAAAGTGGACATCCCTGTCGGACACCACTGGTTGTTACAAATTAAAATGACAATTCCCCCTAACCCCTTCAACGACAATTGGATTTTAAAAAAGGGCTTTTTTTATGAATTTTTTTTTTTTGGCCCCCCCTTCAAATTGGCAATTGCCTATTTTTTTGGGCCGCGGGGGGGGCGCCCCCAAAAAAAAAAAATAATAAATTTGGGGACGCAAAAAGTGTTTTTTTTTTTAATATGTGTGAAAGTATAAAAATTATATTTCTCCCCCTCCTCTCTAAAAGCCTTTTTTTTTTTTCTTTCTTTTTTTCCCCCCTTTTTTTTTTTTTTTATTTTTTGTAGTTTTTTTGAATTTTTTTTTTGGCTCTCCCCCTATATTAACACACGGGGTTTTTTTTTCCTTTTTGTATATTTATAAAATGAGCTTCCCCCGTTGTGTCTGTTTCTCTTACTCCCCCTTTTCTCCTATTCCTCTATATATACAAAAAATTTCACCCCCCCATATATAAACCCCCCCAAATTTTTCCGGGGGCTCTCCCTCTTTTTCTTTTTTAAAATTTTTATTTTTTTTACCCCACCCCCAGAGGGGGGGGCCTGTTCTTTCCCTCGTGGGGGGGGGGGGGGGGGGGGGGGTGTGTGTGGGGGGGGGAAATTATATTTTTTTTCTAAATTTTTTTTTTCCGGCGTAGGGTCTTTTCTGAGAGAAAAATAAAAAGCCTTTTTTTTAAAAAAATTTTTTTTTTTTTTTCTCCCCCCCCCCTTTTTTCTGTATAAGATGATGTTGTTTGTCTTCCTTTTTTTTTTTTTTTCTCTTTTCTCTCTCCCTCCCCCCCCTCCTCTGTTTCGGTTGTGTTTTTTTTTTTTTTTGTTTTTTTTTTTCTTCCTTCTCTTTTTTGGGCGGGCCAATCTACTATCTTTTTTTTTTTTTTCTTTCTTTTTTTTTTTTTTAATTATTTTACATTCTTTTCTTCTCCGGCGCGCAGGGGTGCGATGTGTGTTTTTTTATTTTTTTTTTTTATTAGATTTAGTTTTTTTTCGGGCGGGGGGGGGGGGGGTTTTTGCTTTCTCCTCCCTTCTTTCCTTCTCCCACCACACCAGACCCCAGCCGAGCCGGTGAAACTTCCACCACAGGACAAAAACCCCCCCCCCCCCCCCCCACCCAACTTTTTTTTTTTTTTTTTTTTGTTTTTTTGTTTGTGATGGGGGTCGCCAGGTTAAACAGTGTCTCTCCTTGTGTTTAAAGTTAGTGCTTACAAGGAACAAATGATTATCTGAACAGAACTGTAGGAGACGGTCACCGTTGTCGGTTCGCTGGTACGGAACTCCATAGGTGCCACCGACATCCTTCTCAGATTGACACAATTTCCCTACTTGAGCGTTGAAGTCACCAGCTAGAGTGGATGGATCTGCGCCAATGAGAACACTTTTGAGCCAAATCACCATCCCGGAGACCCCCAACTAGTCAGGAAGTCTACACCTCCCTACATGGCTTAAACTAACTGTTGTGGATTTCATTGACTGATGAGGCCATGTTTTGTTTTGACCACCACTAGCTCTTTTCCAGTTTGATCCATGCACATGGTGCGGAATCCGATCCTCTGCCGACGCACACCTGATATCTATGGTCGGCCTGTAAAATTTGGGCTAACGATATCACATGCGGAAAATTCCATACTTGTACCAAAAATACAGTGTGGAATCAAGCTGTAATCGAAAAAAATAAATAAATAAAATCCTGACCATCTCAATTGGTGTAACTTCAAAACCTCGTCGATTGATTTTCCCTCCCTACCTAGCCCTTGACGTCTAACCTCAATATTGCTCACCTTATTATATTACCTAACAGCGGGAGATATAACGCAGACAGGCACCTATAATCAAAGACAGCTAGCCCGCCAGCCTTTTCGTGTCTCCCACTTTCAATGGGGGCCATGCCTCATAGCCATAAAGGACCTGAAGTCTTATGTGTTCCGCTGGGAATGCAGAGAATAAAAACATATTCGCCGAAGCGATTGTATATACACACACACACACACATACACACACACACAAGAAGGGAATTTTCTTTCTAAAAGGAAAATCCAGCAAAAACTCACCATTAAACGATCTTGTTCAAGTTGTCCAGCTGATTTCACCTTTTGTATACGATCTTCGTGTACATTTTTCATATCAATCATTTCAGAGCGTAATTCAGCTATAGTACGATCTTTAGCTAATAGATCAGTATCTTTAAGGGTTAGCTGACGTTTCAATGATTTAATTTCATCTTGTAATTGACTGATAGTAAGTAAGTGTTCATTGTATACAGAATCCAAACTAAATAAGAATAAGGGATTAATGGAGGAATAAATAGTTAAACAGCCAGCCAACAATGATAAAATGTTTTGATTGAACACTAACTAGTCAGTCAGTAACTAGTGTAATCTGTCTAGCCTAAATTCTATCAGTCACGTTTCTAATGTGGCTAACATTTGAATCTCTGAAGGGACATGAGTTCCTTCAAGGCGGTAGCAGATAAGCCTTGCTGACTGAGTGTGAGTGAGTGAGTGATTGGCCAACTAGCACGAAATCTAGGTCGGCCAGCTGATTGCCTCCAACCATCCAATAACAACAATGATAAGAAATGTATTATACAATGTTGTGATGTTGTGCGTCAGAGGCACAGCGGTTAGGACTCTTGCCGACCATGCGCACATATAGTCCGTGGTTCTATCCCCAGTTGGCGCACATCTTTACCTCCCTTAGCCGGTTGCAAGCCCAACAAAAAGGAAGGTAAGGTGTGAGGCTAGCAACTCCACCCCGTAAAAATAACACCACCTCTGCAGCTGAGACTTTACACCTGAAGCTTTTGAAGCCTTATGTTCCACTGAAAAGTGCGAAGGAATAAAAAAGGAAACAGACAACCACTGAAAACCTGCAGGACAGTGATATGTATTCATTTATATATATATATATATGTGTGTGTGTATGGTGGTCTCTCTTTCTGTTGCTCTCTTAGTCTGTGACCATTTCACTTGTATGAACTTGTCTCCTTTAATAATGTGTATTCCCCTTATACTATATATAATATGAGTGTTTGTTGACAGTCCGTTGCTTGGTGACATATATCCATATATGGTGGTTGTTGACATGTCTGCTATATTTTGCTATGTATATATGGATCGATACTTCAGTATAATTAGCCATTCATGTTGAGACTGTCTATTGATTTGTTCACACCCTTGTCTGGACATTCATATATATTTCGCTCTCACAATTTGTGTGACTTACACTTTGGTGTGATACCACTTATTGCTTCTCCTTGTGTTTGGAAAATAGAAGTATCATCGCAAACCTAGTGGTCTTCTGATTTCCGCCTTCTTGCGTCAGGACTATTAGTTTCTCGACCAGTCCATAACAATAATTTAGCGACGAGTACATAACAGACAGCTGCTTCACCAGCCCAGTTTGGGTACTCGTCAACAGTACGTACACACCACCAGGATTCGAACCTAGAACCTTACAATTAAAAGGCAAGCTAGCTTGTAGGCTATTCGGCCGCTGGAAACCGATTCCTCAATGGCCAGTCCATGAATTCTAACCCCTACGAATTCGTGATTTTAGCGCGACTGGTAACTGATTTGTTTCAAGTTTGATCCTCCAGTCGAGAGTGAGGACAAATACTTACTTCTGTAACTTTACTTCGAAAGCTTTGCTGAGCTTTTCGTTTCACATCACTTGGCATGTTGAATGAGGTTGATAAAGATGTGGGTGGTGGGGAGGGGGGTACAACTACTTAGTGTTGAAACAGTCTGTTAATTTTATAGCTCAACGCTATCGAAAGCCTTTTTGAAGTCGATAAAAGTTGACGGAACTTTGTTTTCAACCTCTCCACGGCTCATTTCGAAGTTGCGTCATATACAAGTAATGATAAGTTGGTTGGTTACCTAAGGTCCCCCTCCCCGTATTTTGTATTTCTAATAACCACATTGTCAATTAGTAATCCAAAACGAGGTAGACATAATGGAGAAGATTTGTAGCTCAGGTGGATGAATTTGATGTAGTCTTGTGTTCTCTCAGCTGGATAGATTACTCGCGAAGCTTTCATCGCCCCAACATCTTCAGCGCATACTTAAATTTGAGGTTAGCTTATAGATTTCTCCATGAGTTTATTACTCAAATACCCGATAAAAACAGCAACAACCCAATAATACACAAAATGAGTTGCATACAAACATTATTCGAGAGTGCCAAGACTCATTGTAGCACTCCTGCCTAAAGGGAGATGGAAGAAAAGTATCTTATGGACGTCTTCCAAAAGAATGAATATCCACGAAAATTCATCAAAGATATCTACCGCCACCAAACCAACCAACCAAATCAAAGGTACCCAAGGAAAACACAAAGAAAATCGCCCTACTATTTATAAAGGACATCTCAGAAATCACTGCAAGACTCTTCAAACCTTTAGGAACTGATGCTGCACAAAAACCAACAAATTCACTTCACTCGACTGCCCTGTGTGAACCAAAAGACTCAACAGTGAAAAAAAGATGAAAGCAACATCATCTACAAGATGAATTGTAACGACTGTGAACAACAATACATTGGCCAAAGTGGACGTTCTCTTCATCTTCTTATCCATGAACATAAGCGCTAGTCTTCAAAAGACATGACATCCACTCCCTCATGTCGCCACACTGCATACAGACAGACAGCCACGGACACCAATTCGACTGGGACAACCAACGTTCAAATACTAGACAAAGGAAGCACCAAGAATGCTAGAGAATTTTTTAGAAGCCTGCCTGGTATTCCAGTGAATCGTCAACCCATAATAGACACATCGATATAGACAAAAATTTACCAATCGATAAGAGGGAAATCTCAGTACCAATTAAAAGTCGCCTAGAGGGTGTAAAGCTACACAAAAACAAGCAATCACAACAACGTTTAAAGTCACCCACCAAGAGAAAGAGATGACCAATAAACTCGTGGGGAAATTTAAAAACCTCACTTCAATTCTAATTGAAGTATGCGTTGAAGGTAGGAAGATGTTGCCTAGTGTTGGGGGGGGCGCGATGATAGCTCCCCAAATACACCACCATCCAGCTAGCTTGCTCAGAGAACACAAAACTACATCAAAATGAAGTGGTTTTTTACGAATTTGACTGCGAATCATTAACAAATCTCTCAATTTAGTAATTATATAATAAATCACTCAAAAAGAAACATTGATCATAGTAACAAAAAGATGCAGAATTATTACAGTCAACTACCTAACTGCTTGTGTAGTTAAAACCTGTTGTGAATTGACTTGTGTATCATATTTTCGTGATCCATAATCACTACCTGATCGTTTTAAAGAGCTATCAAAAAATAGACAAATAAACATATATATATATATATATATATATATATATATATATATATATATATATATATATATAAGCAGTGTGAGAATTCACATTGTGCTATGTATGCTGCTGACAAAATTTATTTCAGTAGTATACAGAGAGACGTATCAAATAGCGAAGAGATAGATATGACGTGTCAAAAAGAAAGCAAATGAACCAACTAGTGTTGTATTGTGGTGAAACATGGGAGATACGGAATATAGCAGACAAAGAAACACACAAGATACGAAGAAAGGACAACACGGTGGATCTGTGCAAATGACGCTTTTCAGATAAGGTGTACACAGATATCAAATTCCAAAAATAAAACATTCTGTTACTAAGTCTATTATATTCTAACGTTACACAATTGGGACCCAACTTCTCAAAGACCAGCTGATGAATTATAATTTTGGTCTGGCAAAGCCCGACCGATAGCTGCTACCTTGACGTGGTGATCGGGCTTGCACATCGCAATGACCCAACAAGCTGCACTGGAAGGAACCAATGTTCCTGCGGGTGCTACTATGGTCAGGAAGGTTGTTAGGATAGCGATTGGACTAAAAACAGTTACCGACATGGTGTAAGAACTTCTTTTTACACTATGCTGGGGGTCTGAGGGCGAAGTCGAACTGCTGGGGAACAGGGATGTAACAGCAGTGAGGTGTTTCCTTCAGATGTTCAGTATGCTAATTGCGCTCTTTCTCCACTCTTGAGAGAGGGGGTTAGAAAAGGTCGACCCCAAAAATTGTTCATCCCGACTTACCCTACGGTGGTCCGTAACCGATGGTAAGTCTACTAATACGGAACCAAACCAAGAAACCAGTTCATACAGGCCGTGTGTGACCGGCTGACCTCAAGCAGTTGTCCTCTGAGTCCTGCGGTCACGCAACACTTTCTGTTTCAGGTAAACGAAGAATCATTCAACTCCCACGGTGTGGGCAGTCGGGAAGTAACAAAAGCCCACACACTTCCAAAAGCACACGAAGCCTTCCTGAGCATCATTCTCTGACAAAGATCCCTATAAAGCTGCTACACGCAGCTCAGTACTAGCTCATTTCGTCCGCATTGAACTGTAACAAAACTTTTGAAGTTATTTATCATATCTCACATGGTCTACCAATATGACTTTTACATACATCAGAGGCAATCGGAATCCATCTGAACAAGCCAAATCTGTGTGTTCTAAAGAAGTCTGTACAGCCCCCAAACTTAACCATGGTCAAATACATAATATATTTAAGAACGTCTTTTCCTTTCCCCTAGTAACTATCTTTTGACTTTCTTGAACCCCGTAATTAGTTCTCACTCTTCTCTGAAAATGTAGATATGTTGTTGCTAACATCTACACGGCACTGGACAAAGAAATGAAGAAGAGTGCTAGGAAGGACAAAAGACAATTCTACGACAATCTGACCACTGAAGCCGAGAAGGCAGCAGGCAAAAGGGACCTGAGGACACTATATCAGATAACCAAATCTCTATCCGGGAAGAGATCAACACAAGTGAAACCTATAAAAGACAGTCAAGGGAAGCCCATTACCAAGGAAGAAAAACAGATTAAACAATGGGCGGATCACTTCAAAGGACTCTTGAACCGACCACCACCTGCAACCCGTCCAGAAATACCAACAACAGCGCGCACACAACTGCAAGTTGACACCAAACCTCCAACGAGAGCTGAAGTCTTGAACGCAATCAAGCTTCTGAAAGCTGGAAAAGCAGCCGGACCAGATGGAATACCCCCTGAAGCACTGAAAGCAGACCCAGAGACTACAGCAGACATGCTGACTCCATCATTGCAAAAGGTCTGGAAGGAGGGAAAGGTGCCTACTGACTGGAGGAAAGGTTACCTCGTGAAACTACCAAAGAAGGGCGACTTAGGACTCTGCAAGAACTGGCGAGGAATCATGCTCCTATCGACGCCAAGTAAAATCCTGAGTCGCATCATCCTGGAGAGAATAAAGAACGCACTGGAGACAGAACTCTGACCAGAACAAGCTGGATTCAGGAAAGGCAAATCATGTATGGACCAAATTGCAACTCGACGCATCATCATCACAGAACAAAGAATGGAATGGCAATCAAACCTCTACCTCAACTTTATACACTTTGAGAAGGCCTTCTACAGCGTTGACCGCGAAGTAATTTGGAAATTACTGGAGTACTACGGCATACCCCAAATATTCATCAACCTTATTCAACAGCTGTACGACAACGGCACATGTCAAGTGATCCACAACGGAAAACTCAGTGAGGCGTTTGGAGTAAACACAGGAGTCAGACAAGGCTGTCTGCCTATTATCACCAATGATATTCCTAATTGTGGTGGACTGGATTATGCGTCAGACCGTGGGAAACAAGAAGACAGGGATATCCTGGACAGACACGAAGAACCTAGAAGACCTGGATTTCGCTCGTGGATGATTTGTTTGATGTCACACAAAATCGAAGACTTACAAGCGAAAGCCGACAAACTGGTCGAAGAAGCAGCCGGCGAAGACAGGACTCCAGGTGAACATAGACGAGACGGAGGTTATGAAAATAATCAACCAACAACAACAGCAGCAACATCCAGAGCCAATCACCATCAACCAGAGGGATTTGAAAGGTTACTTCGTTCGCTTATCTAGGGAGCATTGTCTCAACTACACAAGGAACAGACGAGGATGTCAAATCGAGCGGGAATCGGGAAGGCGAGAAACACATTCATCAACCTGAAACCAATCAGGAAATCTTCGTCACTCAGCATCACCAACAAAATTCAGTCGGATTTTCAATACAATAAAAACGTCAAGTCAGTTCTTCTATACGGATGAGAAACTTGGCGGGTGGATCACAACGAATATTTCCAACAGCCTGTTGCAGACCTTCACCAACAACTGTCTTCGCTCTATACCGAAGATCAGATGGCCGGGCCGGAAAGAATCACCAACAAGAAACCATGGGAAGAAACAAACAAAACAAGAACCAATCGCCCAACAAATATGCAGGAGAAAATGGAGATGAACTGGACGCTCGCTGAGGAAGCCGCTGGGTGACATCGCGCGTCAGGCCATTGCTCGAGTGGAACCCGACAGAATGGGAAGCGGCGAGTGGGACATCCAAGGGTGACATGGAGGAGACCATGTGAAGAGGAGTTGAAACTGTATGGACTAACATGTATGCAGCTGAAAAGTGCAACAGAAGACAGAAGTGGACAGGTGCAGTTGAAGCCCTATGTTCCACTAGGAACCAAAGGGAACAATAAATAAACAATAACATCTATTGGTTAATTGTTTTGATGAGTTTTAAAGTCTTAATTTCAACCATCACCCCACCCCACCTCCTATACCTAAAACTGATTAACTAAAATAACTACTTAATTGATGAAACATTTTGATGTAAAAAGAAAACTGTATATTAGTGTAGAGTCAATGATGAGGAACTGATAAAAAAAATGGAATGCATGCATATTTCTTCGCTCAGTCTGTCGTTTTTTTTTACTAAAACTGTTTAAACACGGAACGAAACCTCTAACTGGTATAACACTTACTCCATAGTAGATTTTAAACGATTTGTATCACTGAGTTGTACACCATCATGTCGACGTTTATTTGATATATGCGATAAAGAGCGTTCTTTAGATCGAGCCAATTTAAAGTTGTATGTACACACCCAACAAAGAATTTGTCCATCAACCTTTTGACGACTGGCCTTTAGAAATAATAATAACAGTAATAATAATAAGCGCAAAATACATTGCTAATTATTTGACAAATAACACTAAAAGAAGTCGTGACCAGCAGGGTGCAGCAGATAGGGTGTGAGGACAAGTACTCGCACAAGACATTGGCTAGTGGTCGCGCTATGTTGTGGATTGGCAGAAGTTAGAATTCATGCACCATTGGATCGGGTCCCAGTGGCTTAATGGTATACGAGCTAGCTCGCCTTGTGACCAGAAGGTCCCGGGTTCGAATCTCAGTGGATGTGCCCTGACGGAGAGTTCCATACTAGGACGAAACAGCTGTCTAGTACTCCCTGCAGGTTTTCCAATGGTTCTCTAACCAATGTCAGCTCATGATGAAATCCTGTATATGACAGTAAAGTTCGAAAAAAATAGTTTTATCTTTAGGAACTTCGATAAGAGAAAAATAGTAAGATGTATTTCATCTAAATTGTGCAATGGACATGTGTAACACGACATTTCAAACAAGCTGATTCACAGACGTACTCGTCACAGATATGTATATGAGAAGAAAAAACAATAAAGTACTAAGGGGTGGAGAAAATACCCGTGCGTCAAGTTAAAAGACAACACTACTGGAAGGTTAAAGTAACAATGGAGATCAATTAAAAGATAAAAGAGTCCCAAACTAGGACGGAGGAAACAGCTGGCTGTCCAGTACTCCCAGTTGGTTTTCCAATGGCTCTAACTGATGTTAGCTCATGATGAAATCCTTCAACTAATAAAAATTAAAACATCAAGAAGAGTACATCCACGCTTGGTATCAAAACAAAACTTACCCGAAAAAAAGTTCAGTGTTTTGACAGCAAGACTCGATGTATTAGTAGCATTCTCACACTTTTAGTCTGTTGGTTAATCTCCATTGTAATAAGCACCTCAAGGATAAAAAGACTGAGGTATATTTTAGAAAGAGACCAGCTAGGTAGTCATTGCAACATAATACAGTTAAGGTTCATTAAAATTTAGCCTGAAGTCGTATAATAACGAAAAGAACTTACAACCAAACAATTCAAAATTTCAATAGTATCCCAATAGCTTAGTTGTTCCAAACACAAGCAAATTTATCGTCACTTCTAGTAATAAGCATAAAGCAAGATAACAATCTACACAATAGGCGTAAGCAGTACTGACTAACTGCTTTCAACATAGAACTTTGCACAGGTGTACAGCAGTTCCAGTTGCCACTCTCCCTCCATGTACCAGCGAAAGGAAAAAAGACAGTAAACAGAGATTCACCAAAAGAGATAATATATTATAATATATTATATATATATTATATACATAATATTATATAATAATATAGCAGTGGGTTAGGTAAGAATTTAGACATACGCAGATATATTCAGTCGTGATACCGTATACGATAAAAGAGATAACCGCCACACTACAGTTGAATGAATCCGCAGAGAAACCGCTAGCGAAATGACGACAAAGAGAGTTTCACAAAGGTGCCCACCTCATTCGTTGTACTACTGCCTTTGACCACAAACAGGTCACTTAAAACTAATCAGAGATGAGTCGTCCACCACTACATTTTCTCTTACAACTAGAATGGTCAGTTTGACCATAATAAGGGCTAACAACAAGATGTTTTTAAAACACATACTTGTAAACTATTAGAAAAAGTGGGAGGAGCCCTCAATGGACAGTCTGTGAGTACGACAAAAAATGTTAAAACCGCAGTAATTTGCAGAGAAACACATTAACTGACAAAAGATGTTTTGTATGACTTATTTTAAAATGAGACATTTGCACACAGAAATTGGAAACCTTAATTCCTATGAAGCTTGAAGATAATTTCAAACTAGAAGGGAGTAAAATCATGGTTGTAAGTATTCCAGCATCGTTCAGAAGTCGGAAATCTACAGCAAATATAGGAAGCCACTGTCTCCGCTTTTCATTACACTATTAGTGAATACAAAGACGATGAAATTAGCACTTACTTCGTCTTTCAAAAATGCACACATATTTCCACATGACTGACATTGTCTTGGTTCACCAAATCTGTTTCTATAATGTAAACACCGCTGACAAACTAATGCATTGCCGAATGCTGTCCTTAAATTGCATATTGAACAAGGTTGAGGTTCACCATATTTACTCTTTAAAGACTGACACTTTGGACAGATATCACCGTAACTGCGGAAACAATATATCATTTTGATTCTGCTAACTTACACATAGTACTTGAAGTCAGACTTGCAGTATTCACATTGTTTGAATGCTGAGTGATGAGGACTACAACCCTAAATAGCGAGCCACTAGAAGGCAGTACATGAATTTAAAATACTTTGCAGGCCTGCCCCGACCTAGCCATTTCAGACTGTGGGAAGTTCCGAAGGCATTTTGTGCAAGCAAACAAAGGTTGGTCCATTCACCGTAGCAGTCAAAATGGTAAGTGCCGCCACTACATTTCAACTCATTATCCAATATCGTTTTTACGAGCTAGTATAAACCGATTTGATTTCTTTGTGCTTGCTTCTTAATTTTAAGGTATACGTTCCTAATCTTTGGTAAATTTTTGCGTAGCTCGTCCCACCACTCGACTGTGGTAGCTTTGGTTGACTCCAAAGGGAGTAGTGCTGGAATTGATTATATGTGGTTTGTAGTATTAGACGTGTTAAGACTGTTACTGCTGTGAATAGAGTTGATCCTTTCACCAGTTAGTCCTCCGGTATCGTCGACAAGAGAAAAGAGATGATAATAATAATAATAGATATAATTAGTGAAATTATTCAGACTAACAGTCTGAAAAAGAAATAGGAAAACGTAACAACAGTCAGCTGATTAAATTTGAAGATTAATATGAATTATATATATCGGTAATAATGATAATATTAATAATAAGTCTAGTGAAAGTTGGCTGGAGATTAAGACGGCAGAGAATGTAAAGAAGTAAAACGACAAGTTTAACTGTCTACCCTTGAATGGTGTATGCGATTTCAAACGGATAGGCCATTCGGGTTCAGTCCTTGCGTCGCTGCATGGTTGTCCAGCCTTCGCTTAAAGGCGTCCACAGACGGTGCTATAGCTACATCTGCCGGTAAGGAATTCCAGGGACGGAAAACCCGCAGTAAAAAGAAGTGGGAGCGCATATGGGTCCCTGCCCCCTAGTGAGCTATCCTTCTGGGATTTCTACGAGAGAACCTATACCTACTCAATGGCAGAACACCTTTGTTTGGGTGACTCTAGTCATTTGCCATTTTATAGGCAGTAATCAGATCCCCACTAAGACGTCGGTAGTCAAGTGTGAACAGGCCTAGTTTCTCCGGCCTTTCAACAAATGGTTTATTTCGGAGACCAACCACTCCTTTTGTTGCCCATCGTTGAAATCTTTCCAAGAGGTCCACGTCCCTTCTAAGCAGTGCGGGTGCAGTAATATTATGCACCTCAAGGTGTGGTCTGACCTATGTTTTGTACAACCTTAAAAAGAGCTCAGGAGTTAGTGCATCTAACTGTCTATGTGTAAAGTGTATGACCACATATGCCCTCGCTACATCCCCCGTGTGATTCACGCTTGTGTCCATTTTTTCCTTTAGAACTAGACCTAAGTAGCGTTCCGGCGTTGTGCAGGACAAGCTTTCATTGCACAGGGTGTAACTTGCATTTTGCGGTCTATAAGTGCTCAACTTCACTACTTTGCACTTTTCAGGTTGAAAGTCATGCCACTGGCCACCGCCCAGTCTTCCAGAAGGTCTAGATCTTTCTGCAGTCTGAGTCCTCCAGACACTTTATCGCCCTCCATATCTTTACGTCGTCAGCGTATAGAAGAGTCGGGCAGCTTAGGACGGCGTGGTAGATCATTGATAAAAGTCAAAAATATCAGTGGTCCTAGGATAGGACCCTGCGACGCTCCTGATGACGAGCTGTGCCAAGATGATGGGACTCGATTGACCTTAGTGCAAAATTGCCTTTCAGCTAGGCAGTCCCTTAACCACGGCAGAATTGGCTTACCTATACCTGCCTGGCTTGTTTTGTGTAGGAGAAGGTCAAGGTCTAGGAAGACCACATGGACCGGAACATTCATATCCCAGCATGATGTCCAGTCGTCCCAAGCTGATAGTAGGTTAGTAGCGCAGGATCTGCCTTTCTTGAAACCGCGTTGGTCTTCATGGGGTACATTAGACCTATCGAAATATTCCTTGACGTGATCGTCAAAAATACTTTCCAGTACTTTTGACACCACTGGGAGTAGAGCTACTGGTCTATAACTAGTAACATTTTGCCTATCCCCACCCTTGAAGATTGGAGAAAGGATGGCTCTTTTCAACTCCCTTGGCAGTGTCCCCGAATCCATTAGTGTTGGAACAAGTCGCACAGGGGCCTACAGAGAGCTTCAGCTCACTGTTTCAGAAAAGATGGCCTGATGTCGTCACAACCTGGGGACTTCTTACGTGTGGCTCGCCGTAACTTCCTCAGTACTATTACGGGGTTTATTTGGGGAGTAGCCATTAGGTCTTCCTCCTGTGAAATAGTGGTACCACCATTTCGGTCCGTAACTGTAATATCCACATTGCTGTTTAGCTGTTTGGCGAAGGCTGAGCTGAATGTTTCAGCCATCTCCAGACTTGTGAGATATTGACCATATGGGCCTACAAAGGTGCATGCCCCCTGGTTGGTTGGTTTTCTTTCCGACATGAATCGGTACAAGTTTTTGGGGTTTACTAGAAGTTTTTTTAGCAAGGTTAGCCTGTCCCTCCTGACTCTTGCATGGCACCGGTTCTCGAGTTCCAGGTATGCATCGTGGTCGGTCTGACTCCTAGAAACGCGCCACGTAAACCAAGCCTTCCGCTTTAATTTCAGAATACGTTGCGTGCCTCTCTTCAACCATGATGAATTTCTTTTGGGCTTTGTTGTGACTAAATGGACGGTATCTGAGATTGCTATATGAAGAATCCTTTTTACCACTTCCCAGTGTTCATCCACAGATAGGTCATCCCACGCTAAGGGCCAGTTTGCGTCAGATAAGAGCCTCCGCATTTCAGCATAGCCAGCCTTGCTGTAAACGGACATAGCCGCGTAACGTCCCCCTGCAAACGCTTACGGAGAACAAGATCGAAACCTATAACTGCATGGTCACTACTTAATAATAATAATAGTATATTCTCATTTTGTACATGAGGGACGCCAGTTTACAGGCATCATCAATATGATAAATTACATATACGATTAGCAATCATACTTAATAATAATGTTTTAATAAAATACACATTTTTTCCTACCTGTGTAGGACACATCAAATGTATAGGCATGGATAAGCATTATTTAAATTTCATAAATTTGGTTTATAGTTAAATTACATGGTTGCTGACGTTTCTGTCTTTAATTTGTGGGAACAATATGATAACCAGTCATTCAATGGAGCACATCATGAAATATAGGAATATTGTCTTCGCATTAACAAAAAAACCCAAGTAAGTTTTGGATGGATTAAAAATACTTGGGAAAAAATAAAGCTTGAAGTAATTCCGAATCTCATTTTTGATTTATATCCAAATTGGGTAATAAGGAAGCTATTTTTACAGATACGATCAGTTATGTTATAAGCTACAATCGTGACGTTGTATTACAAATTGATACTTTTCCATTGGTATAAGAGTATATTCCACAAATGTAATCCAGGTTGCGTCGTGGGGAAAGTTAATTCGTTATTAACCAGGCAACTGAAAGATACGGGACCAATAATGTTTGCAGATCATTTGTCATTGTAAATGGTCAAATATCCACATTATTCATTCTCATTCAAAAAGTCAAATGGAAGCTGAAATGGTGAGAGAAAAAAGAAGACAAACAACAGCAACGCAAAAGAAAGCAACGGGAGTCCTTAAGGAGTGATTAATAAATATATACATATATATTCTGTTTAGTAACTATGGTTATTTTTGTTCATAACTAACTAGTCCCGTTATGCTAACTTTTATATTATGTGTAAACTAATATTACTGTCCTGTGTAGAAATGTTAATCATCTAGTTCCAATAATATTAAAATTTATAATTGTAGTTTGTTGTAACTACACGTTTAAAGAACTTAAAATATCTATGTAGGGTGAAAAAGAAGGTGTAAGAGTCAGACGTAGAAGTGCATTGTCATCTTTGAGCAGTCTGGTGACTGAGGAGATGAACACTGGAAGTGTGTTTGCATCGCGCACATTAGCTGGTAGTCTATTCCAAATGACTGAAAACTTATTTAAGAAGAAGTTGTACCGCACGTAAGTCTGACAGTGCTCCATAGCAGCTAGGTTGTGATGATTTCTAAGATTGTAACTGATGACAGCGGTAGGTTTAGTTATTGGCTCGGAGGAATGCAAGAGAAGATTAGTTAGCTTATAGTAAAAGATAAGGTTTAGCTTAAGGCGTCTTTTCCAGAGGGGTTCTAATCTTAGTCTTTCGCATCGCTCATGGTATTCCAGACCACTTTCTAAACCAAGAGTTCTTGAGGTAAACTGCCGTTGCACTCCCTCTAATTTAAGCTTGTCATTTTGTCTGAGTCCGCTAAGAATAAACGGGCAGTATTCTAAGATAGGTCGGACACATACTTTGTATAATAAAACCCTAGTTTCACAACAAAAGAAATTGCGTGTTATGCATCCTATCAGCCTTCGCGTTTTACGTCTGGCATAATCAGTCTGTTCAGCGAACGTTAGGTTACTAGAGTATCTAATACCGAGATCTACGACTGAGTTGAGCTTAGCTAGTTTTCGCCCATTTATTTCAAGAGTTAGATCAAGGTTACTGTTGCCGATACAAATCCAGCCGCATTTGTCAATGTTAAAGTTTAGACAGGATTCAGCACACCATGTTGAGAGACTACTTAGTTCAAGATGTATTTTAGTAACCATATCGCTTAATTCATGAGTGTAGCAGGAGTAGACGACTTTGAGGTCGTCAGCATATAGGAATGGTTTACCTGAGGTGAAGCACTTGCAAATGCTGTTAATGTAAACTGTGAATAAAAGTGGACCTTGCACGACCCCACTTGAGATCTGCCTAGGATGAGACAATACAGATCCAACTTTGGTTATTTGTACCCTGTTGCTTAGAAATGATTTTAACCAGTTCAGTAATGGGTTGCGAATTCCACAAGAGTACAGCTTCTCAAAGAGAATACTGTGAGATACCATGTCAAATGCCCTAGATATATCGAAGTAGAGAACAACGACTAGCTTACGTGCTTCGCGACTACTAGTGATGCAGTTGAAAAAGTCGAAGTGGCAAGTAACGCAGGATCTATTTTTGAGAAATCCGTGTTGAGACCTTGTAACAAGATCTTCCCTAATTAGGTAGTCTGACAATTGATCTTTTACAACTTTCTCCATGATTCGTGAGATAACTGGGGTTATATTTATGGGTCTGTAATTGCGGACGTTTGCCCTATCACCAGATTTGTAATGTGGAATTATGAAGCTAGTTTTCCACTCACTAGGG